TGCATGTGTGCTTGCCTGCTCACATATCGGTATTTTTGCATATGTGTAGTCGAGAATCCACTTTGTAAATGTAAATACAAAAAATTCCTTTTGTGCATGATTGGATTATTTGCGTGAATTGTATGCTTGAAAAGACAAATAACATACCCATCATGCCTGACATGCCCATGCCTCCCATGCCCATGCCTCCCATGTTCATGCCTCCCATGCCCATGCCTCCCATGCCCATGCCTCCCATGCCGCCCATGCCTCCCATGCCTCCCATGCCACCCATGCCTCCAAATGGAGCTGAAATTAAAAAAAACAATAATAATAAAATAAAGAGTACATTTAAAATGTCATCTATCTGCCCAAAAGGTTTGTGAACTGAATATATTTATAATATATCATACATCTCTACATTCATATGTTAACATTTGTATAAAGAATTAGGCTTTGAGAAAAAAGCATGATTTAATACAAAAGTTATAAAGCAGTAATAATTTAAACTCTAGTATATCATTTCTTTTTTTTTAAAATTAGCTATGTTAATTAAATCACAAATAAAAATGAAGGCCTTTAATTGAAAAATTTATTACAAGAATTGTCAGAATTAATTTCCTCATAAAGGGAATCTAAACTGTAAGAGAAATCGAACCTACCACCCATCATTCCTCTGCCAGGGGGTGGAGGGGGGCCAGAACTTGGTGGATATGCCATGTCACCTGCCATGCCACCAGGTTGTGGATAGTTACTCTAAATTATACATACACAAATACATGTAGACATATGTTTTTATATACTCAAATAACTCTACATGGGTCTAGAAAATCAATTAAATATTGAGAAAAATTTATCCATATTCAATATCAGATGTTTTGTTATAATATATCTGTCTGCCTCATATGAAAAATTATACATACCCCATACATTCTGTGTGTGATATTATAACAGCAATGCTATATGACACACTTGCTTCCTACAACTAAAAGAAAAATGACAAAATCATGATATAATGAATAAAAAGTAATATCCATTTCATTTACAAAAGATATATTATATCCTGGGCTTACATTTCAGTAGGCTGCTGTGATATTTAATTAGGTCTGTTTGGATATTAAGAGAGTAACTAAAAGGCTTTTTTTTTTTTATTCTGAAAAAAACACAGAAACGTGAGAATTATAATGTGGTTTATGGAGTAAGCCATATATAGTGTAATTAATTAAGTCTATATATGTGATCAAGGTAACATCTACCAGTATATAGGTATCAGATTATTTATATTTAAGATAATCACTATTTTTAAGTGAAATTATGGAATCAATTAAGCAGTAATTTAAGTTACACAAGTATCATATGGGCCTATGGGCCATGGCACATGTATAGTGCTAGAATAGTATAAGGTACTATTTTCTCGTAATTCACTTCAGATCAGTGGTTTTTATGTTCTGATTGCAATGTCATATATCACAATATATTGAGGTCATCAAAGCAGAACACACGCACGCACGCACGCACGCGCACACACACACACACGATACCCGTTAAAGTGAAAGCAAGCGCTGAAATGCACTGATGGATAGTCAATCAGAGAAGATAGATAGTAATTCTATATTAGGAGCCAGTATCCTTTACGACAAGAAATCAGCTATAAAAAAACGACCACATGCATCTTTATTAGACACTGCAATATCTTACTGCAGGCTGTATTTTTTCATCCCTAACAACGATAAACAAGTATGACACCTTGACTGGTTCTGCATACACAACTTCAGCAAGATAGGTCATAATAATTATATTCATGAGTCAAAGGGTAAAATTATGACATTTTCATACGTGGTTCTGGGGGTGCATTCATGTTTGGTTCAATAATTTCTTGAGAAAATTATATACTCCATCGGTGGATAATGTCGTCCTCAACCACTGTCAACTGTTTTCTCAAAACCGTGATTGGTCCCGGAAATTTACTCTAGAAAACAACCAGTATTAAGGTCCAACGTTTCTAATCAACAGCTTGCAAATTCATAGTATAGCAAATAAGACCGTGTTTACCAACACTGAATTGAACAAAATTAGGCCAAAAAAGTTTTATACACGAATTAATTCCACTAAATTCGCACGCGCCAATACAACCCGCAATATACTTTAAACGTCTTTATTTATAGCAACGGACCGATGCTGTCAAGATCAGAACAAACATGCGTGTACTGCGAAAATTGGTTGTCTTCTATTAATAAATATCCGGATCCACTGCTGAAACAATGCTTCAAATATGCTTGGTTTTGGCAACTATTTCTAGTTTCCAGTAAAAGTAAAAATGCATTTACCTGTGTGTTTCACTGCCCTGTAGATTCAATCCAAGGCGCATGCGCACAAACTCAACAAATACAGAATACAGCCTTAGAAGTTTTGAAAAAAAAATAATAATAAATAAATAAAAAATAAAAAAACAGAAGGACAAGTCAAATGGAAAACGTTTTCCACGACCTACTACCGATACCGTGTAGGCCCTTTTGTGTTGTATTGAGGACCCGCAGCTCTAGCTGGGGAGCTTACAAAAAGAAAAAAATTAGATAGTTTCCTCCATCCATTGATGCCCGATGGACGTTTAATTTCGCCCCAAAGGCTCTTCAGGGGCGTAAACAGAAATAATACACATATGTGGCAACAAAATAAATAAAATTTTGATGACACAATTGAAGCCGAGTGGGGAAAAGAATAATTTTTTTAGTGTAGATCTACAGCCAGAAATACTAAAATATGACGACCCACTAAAAAGCTTGCCGTCTTAATTATCCCGTGAAATATTCCAGTGGGTCGACCATATTTGATCCTTGGACTAGTTAGTCCACTGTTCTGAATGCCGACAATGATAATGATGTGATCAATACCATGGAAAACATTAACCTTGAAAGATTTCATATCAAGAATATAAGCACCCCATGAAAAGTATGTACAATGAAAGATGTGAGAACAGTTAGAGTAAAAATCATTAAGTAAAAGCGAGCAACCAGGGCCCATGAGAAGTGATGTAGTTCATCTTATTAATACGAAGTGATTAAGGGCAGTACGGAGAGCCGGCTGCGACAACCTAGCTGCTCCCTGTTGTTTTCTTTTTCATTATTGTACGTTTATTTTTTTAATGAAAGACTCACTAAAATCTTTATAATTAAGGTATCAAAAGCTGAAAATATATTTTTTGACTTTGATGCTAAATGAAACTCATGGTGTCTATTTGCAGAAAATAATATGAATTTTAAAAGTATTGTTTTCATTCGACCTTTTCATTTTAAGGACATCAGACTAAATATCACAATACAAAGTATGATATATTAAAAAAATGTATATTTTTCTGTCATAAATCACTTTGTATTTTTAAACAAAATGTTTGGAAAGATGCTATAAAACTTGTTAACTTTACATCCACATTTTATTTTTACCTGTAAGGTATGTACCCGTAAGAAAGGAGTTGTTATGAAACTCCTTGATATAATCAGGGAATTATATCCGATATAATTTCCTGATATAATTAAGCTGTGAAGTTGTATTCTGAATAAACAATAGCGATGCCGATTTACTTAGGGTAATTTTGTTCAAGCAATAAGTCTCTACGATTTAGCTGGTGTATTTAGGCCTACATTATATAAACCCTCTGTAAAAGCTATATCTCGATCGTAAAACGGCTATCTAGTTTTTATAGCACAAACTTACGGTGGGATGCAAGTGATATCGTTTTGAGTTTAGCGTGTAAGCGAACTTATTGTTGGTTCGTAATCCGCATTAACATCATTAATAATGATTGATATAAGGCATGTCTAAGGATTCGAATCTACTAAAAATCTAAGAAAGCATATTCTTTCATCTTTTGTCACAGACACCAACGTACTGATGAATTAGAACGTGGCTTGTCCTGGTGCCTATTAGACGAATATTATCGAACAAGAGTGCATTTCCCTTTTATATTCTAGTTACAAAGCTATCTACTAGGAATTAAAAATGAGAGTTGCAAAAATAAGTATCTGAAATATTAAGAGAGATACTGTTGAAAAAGCTGGTTTTTTGTGAATGCATGCCACAATTTGAGAACAGAGGCTATTTTTATGGACAACCATTTATCTTGCTTTCAACGTGGAGAAAAAGGACTGCAACAGACTTCAACCTGTTCTTTGATAAGTCATCGATAGGGAACACTGCATAAACACCTGAAAAAATGTTATAAAATAGAAAGAAACAATACAAGTGAAGATGCTGTGAGATTTAATAATAGGAAAGAAGAGAAGTGAACATATCCTGGAGTTCGTCTTGTGAAAAGGATTGAAGTGGCTCACACTGGAGAAAATCACTCAAATGCTAGTATTTTGAGTGAAAAAATGAATTGTATACGACATGAAATGACCCACGCTGGAGAAAAACCATTTGAATGCCTGTACTCTGAAAAGAGTTTTTGTGTTGAAGAGAGTTGTATACGGCATGAAATGATCCATACTGAAGAAAAACCATTCAAATGCCAGTATTGTGAAAAGGGTTTCAATGTTAAACGGAATTGTATAAGGCATGAATTGATCCACACTAGAGAAAAAAAATTCAAATGCCAGTATTGTAAAAAGAGTTTTAGTGAAAAAAGGAATTGTATACGACACGAAAGGACCCACACTGGAGAAAAACCATTTGAATGCCAGTATTGTGAAAAGAGCTTCAGTACTAAACAGAGTTGTATACGACATGAAATGATCCACACTGGAGAAAAACCATTCAATTGCCAGTATTGTGAAAAGGGTTTTAATGTTAAAGAAAATTGTATAAGGCATGAAATGATCCACACTGGAGAAAAAATATTCAAATGCCAGTATTGTAAAAAGAGTTTTATTGAAAAAATGAATTGTAAACAACATGAAAGGACTCACACTGGAGAAAAACCATTTGAATGCCAGTATTGTGAAAAGAGCTTTAGTACTAAACAGAGTTGTATACGGCATGAAATGATCCACACTGGAGAAAAAACATTCAAATGCCAGTATTGTGAAAAGGGTTTTAATGTTAAACAAAACTGTACAAGGCATGAAATGATCCACACTGGAGAAAAAATATTCAAATGCCAGTATTGTAAAAAGAGTTTTATTGAAAAAATTAATTGTATACGACACGAAAGGACTCACACTGGAGAAAAACCATTCAAATGCCAGTATTGTGAAAAGAGCTTTAGTATTAAACAGAGTTGTATACGGCATGAAATGATCCACACTGGAGAAAAAATTTTCAAATGCCAGTATTGTGAAAAGGTTTTTAATGAAAAAATGAATTGTACACGACACGAAAGGACTCACACCGGAGAGAAACCATTTGAATGCCAGTATTGTGAAAAGAGCTTTAGTATTAAATATAGTTGCAAACGGCATGAAATGGTCCACACTGGAGAAAAACCATTCAAATGCCGGTATTGTGAAAATAGTTTTAGTGTAAAAAGTAAGTGGAAACAACATGAAATGATTCACACTGCCATTTCACTTCAGTCTATAAAAAAGGAATTACAAGTGGAGGATGTACAACATGACCCTATGATTTCAATACAGTCTGTAAAAAAGGAATTTCAAAAAGAGCTTAACCCATATCAGACAAAGGAGGAGAGCAAATCACATACAGAACCTGTAGTGAAAATGGAGTTTAATGATAACAACACTCCAGGAGTGAGACCTGAAATATATCCTGTTGCTATGTTTAGAAATGTATTTTCAAATACTGATGTTTGATTTCTGATCAATCATAAAATAACAGGTTAAGTTGGGCATTAAATTTAAGATTAATTATTGTATGACTAAACGTTAAAACAATAACAACCGAAGTTAAGATTTCCTTTTTAAGTCATTAATTTTTTTTTTGAAAGAAAAAGTGTGACAGTTAACAGAAATAAGCACCAATACCACACAGTTGAATCAATTAAGAGTTGCACTGTCATGCTATTGTGTTTTACTCGAGTAGTTTTGCTGAGGTACACAATACCATCGTCAACAGTAGGGATTTCAATAACAGATCATTCACGATCTCTTCATAGTACCTATATTTACACAGACCAAGTTGCCCCTCAATTTTTATTGCATATTAATGGAGAGTTAATTTAATTTGCTAGAGGTTTCAATAAAAACTCACCAGCTGGCAAATACTCGCCCAGGAACCAGCTGCCACACAATGACACTGAGTGCGTAATAGTATGGTATTTCACAAGTTAAATTTTCGTCAGAGGGGGGACATAAAAATACTTTTTCCAAAATAATGGAAAAATTTTCAAGACTGAGAGAGACAAGAAAGCAATAATGATTGTTTTTAATTGCTTTTCTTTTTCTGTTATTGAAATCCCTACTGTTGACAATGCTATTGTGTACCTCAGCAAAACTACTCCAGTAAAACACAATAGCATAACAGTTTGTCAGATAAACCAAACTTACCTTTTTACATATCTTTTGTCCATCAATCACTGAAAAGTTCTTGTATTCTCTATTGCTTGTACATAAAGTGCTGCTTCAGCCTTCATTGAAATGCTGATTGGTTAAAAATAATGGGAAGAAGGGAAAATGTTGCACTGAACTTATTTAAGGTCATGTGGCATGTGAGAACAGTAAAACTTGTAAGTTTTAGTGTCTTTTTTATTCAGATGTGACTGTATCATAAGTCAGACTTCAATAAAAATATTTTTGGGCTCAATTTTTTTCTATTTTGCCATTTTGAGGTCGATGGAATATGGAAAACAAATGATCAAAAAATATCTGCCTAAAATCTGAAACTCCAATGCCACAGAAAAAACATAAATTGGTCTGCAAAGATATGCAGCAGTACAGTTTTTTACAATATTAGATTTATAAAATGCACAAACAGTAACAGGATAAAAAGCTAAACAAATACTTTCAACTGTTCAGAAGAGAGGTTGAAAAGTTTGAAGTAAGCATGTGGAGTTTCTCATACTACAAGCGCACAAAATGTTATTACTTCCATTATCCTCTCATTCCTTTTTATAACAAATGAAATATCTGATGGAGGAAAAACTGATTCACAAGAGTTTTTTCAATGTTTAATTGGGATTTACCAGTTAAATGAATAAAAATTACACAAAAGGACGTAGAAGTAAGAAGCAAATTATAAACAAAAAGACAAACCAATATACTCCTCAGTAATTTCTTGTGTTTTTATTTTCATAATTTCTCTCATGTAGATATTTTTCCTCTGTCTCAACCACAACCATTGTAACATATTCCCTATCGAAGATCTCAAATTATTATCATGTTTGTACTGTAAAATACGAAACTGCTGGACCAATACTACACAGTATCTACATTATAGTGGCTTGTCACAATCAATAAACTGACAAATTTACATGTGAGTCAAATATTCTTCAAATGTGTCCCTTAAATAATACAAGTTATATGCATGGATACAAAATTTACTATGAAATATAAGGTGCTCATTTCTAACTTATGATGAAATTTTACAATTCAATGGTCAGATTGAAAAGAACCCAGACAAGTTGCCCTTACAATTTGTGACATTAGCTACAGGTCCACTAGCAGATTTGGCGTCTTGGTACTTTAAGTCATTTTTTTCTGTCTGTCCAAATTTAAGCTGTCCCTAAAGACTAGGGCGAATGAAATAAAGGGACTGGAAATACAGGAGAAGATCAAAGGATAATCTGCTTTGTTTTATTCATCCACGTTAAAGATTACTTTTTAATTAACTCTATATATTTTATCTTCATATAGTAGTACAGTAGCAAGATCTAGCAAAACATACAAATCAAACACATCTAGAAGTTGAATTTGAAGGTAAAGGAAGGCAGCATTCAGTGGTCACTTTGGAGTCAGAAATGTCAGCAAAAGTACGATGCACATGCTGTTGTACCAAAATTGCCAATTGTACTGTACTAGCTTGAAATTAAAACTATTGCTCTCTTCTTGGATGAATAAAACATCATATTCATTTAAACTTTAAACCAAGATGTCAAAACAACAAAATCTGTAAGTATCTATAGGAAATCCGAGGCCCTGGTACCAATACCATGTAGAGGGTACCATTTCCTTACATGTGGTTAACATCGTTCCCACTGTTATTTTTGCTCAAGTTCTTCAACTGTTTTAATAATTCATGAGTAAAGTGCATTTTATACTCCATATGCACAAGGAGGTAAATGAGAAGTAATTTTGGACCACCAAACCTTTTCGGAGTAATGTACCTTGGTTCTAATGAATGACTAGAGTAAAGACACTTTTACCATGTAATTGTGGAGAAAATCAGAACATTGGTCAACTTTTTGAGTGAAATGTGAAATTTACTAGAAAATATGAGTCATTAGAACTGCATATAAGTTTTAATGTCATTAAATGATTAATGCATTCATTTTATTTTAATAATTAAAATTTTATTTAATTAAAATCCAACAACAGTTTGAAACACAACCAATCAAAAATTTTGCAAAATATTTATTACTCAACATTTAATAATTTTCCACTATTATCAAGTTTCAATCAATTGATCACATAAATAATTGCATTTCAAAATAAATTCATACTCATCATCCTCTGTTCACTGGTAAAATTAAATTGCTATGATCATTAGATAAAAGTTTATCCATCTTTCATGCTGTCAGTGTTAACAAAAACACAATCAGAGAGTGTTCAAACTTTGATGTCTGAAAAAAAAAAGAAGCCCCCGAACACAAACTTGTCTGGACAAAATTTTTTTGTTACCCTTTTTTTCTTTTTTCAGTGACATCACATCTATTGCCAATGGCATTTTCCTGTTTATAAATACAATGTAGATTTGTTTGTTCATCACTGACAAATTGTATGGCAATTTTCCTATTTGTCTTTGAAGTCCGCTGGCCTTTTTTCAATAAATGCTGTCATTCCTGCCATTCTGTCATGCTGGAAATGTGAGGCAAGGTATATTAGTTTTAGAAAAGGACAAAAACAAAAAAAATTAATGTTTTCAGACAGATACCATGTTTCAAAACTAAAAATACCATAGCTGACATTTTTAATGCTCTAAAATGAAAGAACTCAAAACGATATAACAAGAGTTGATAAAGAAAACTTACTGTTGCAAAGGTTGCATGGAAAGTCCTCTTCTCGAAGTGAAGACCTTCTCTCAAAGACATTTCAAAGGCTGAAAGAAAAAATATATTGATGCACAATACTGGGTGCTAAGCCTGATGGAAACTGTTTCTATATAAAATTGTAACTTGCTTTACAGTATTAGTATCTAAAGTTGGACTTGTGAATTTTTCCTTGGACAAAAGGGGTCAAATGTTGACATATAGCAGCCAAATTAGATCTTTTACGAGTTTTTATTTTAATTGAATTTTGATTTAAGAGTTTAAAAAATAGATCTGATTTTTCATGGCTTTCTTTGATGTCAAGACTTCAAACAATTACATGCACTGACAGCCTCCTTGCACATGGCAGATACCAGTTTGCTTTGGGCAGAAATTGTTTCTCCTAATTTAATTGCCTCATCCACCAACTGTTCCACTGGGAAGACCTTGCTGACCAAACCTAAATACCGCAAAATTTATCATTGAAATTTATTCATATGCAAGATTCAAATTTGGCATTGCACTAAGACTTGAAGTTATAGCTTATCCAGTAATTCAAAGAAAATGTAAATGGAGTTTTGTACTTCCCTTTTAATTCAATTCAGATCTTAAAAATGCAAATTAATATGATGGTGATTAACATTGCCAGCTGTGAATTGCTTGACTTTTAAAATCATACAATCACAAAATTTGGTTAATCATGAAAAAATATATATACATAAGTCAAGCATAAACAATAGCAGTAAAATAGTCAATAAGTACATTTTGAGTCATGCCAACTGAGAGTTGCATATATGTGTACTACAATACCTGCCTTATTTCTCAGATCACTCACCTGAAATTTTCTTCATAATCTTCCACACCCCTCTACCACCCAAAAAATAACAATTAAATAAATCTAAAAATCACCCTTTATTTAAGATCACCCCTACTTTTACCCCACCCCCCACCCCCAAAAAAAATAATAATAACAATAATAATAATAATCAACAAAATAACAATGAAAAAACTTGCCTGCTTTCTCAGCATCCTCTGCATTAATAGGGTTTCCAGTCAGTACCATCTCCATTGCCTTAGATTTGCCTATTGACTGAGTGAGCCTTTGTGTGCCACCAGCACCTGGAGTGTATTAATAAGCATGTATGGCATATTCCTGATTGCACGCACATGTGCACAAACACATAAACAGACATATATGTGTACAATTAATGAATCATGTGCATAATTCTGAGCAATAAGTGATCTATTTTCCCTTTCATCGTTGATTATGTTGCTTGTAACTATATCACCTCTATCCAACGAAATTCTACAAACAACTTCTTTATTCAGTAGGAAGTTCTTCTTTGGGCATATAAACATTGTATGCCTAAAACCATGACGAGTGAGGAACAACCATAAACTAGTAAAAATTCAAAACCCTGTAAGCATTGTTTTAAAATGGTGAATATTCAAACAAGCATCTTTTCTGGACAATAATCTGTTTTAGGATGTTTCTAAAAATATATTAGAAACTGAACAGTACCTGGTATTGTTCCTAATTTAATTTCTGGCTGACCAAATTTTGCTTTTTCACCAGCATAGATAATGTCACACATCATGGCAAGTTCATTGCCTCCTCCGAGCTGTCAATGAAAAAATATTTCAATATACCATCATATGGATAGAAGAAATCACAATCATTAAAGAAGTATTTGTTGAAAAGATATATGTACATTTTTTCTTAATAGTTCTTGAGTATGTCTTTTTATATCACAGCCAAGTCAGCATTACAATTGTTTATTTTTATCCTCAAACAACATAATTCAACCAGAATAATATGCTTAATATCTCAACCTACAGCATATCCATTTACTGCTGCAATTATGGGCTTTTTGCACTCTGCCACCTTGGTCCAGGCAGCAGTAAAGTTTTCATCATATGCTTGGGAAAAGTCTCTCTTCTGCATTTCTTTGATGTCAGCACCAGCTACAAGCAAAAATTTTAAGCTTGATGTGTTAAAAGTTAAAAGTTTATGAAAATCTATTAAAAATATAGTCTTTACTCCACAGATTAATACAACCTATGAAAAAATTCCACCTGACAAAAGATCTCAACAGAAAATTGAGTCGACTGTTTAAACCTTACTTCCCTTTGTTACAATTCTGTAAGACATCAACAACAAAGACGTACAAGTACAATACCACAGTATCAGAACATAACTATCATTTATAAAAACTGAATACATACCAGCAAATGCTTTCTCACTTCCAGTTATCACAATGCATCCAACATTGCCATCATTTTCGAAATCAGTGACAGCCTGCGTCAGTTCCACCATTAGTTCATCACAAAGTGCATTAAGAGCTTTAGGGCGGTTGAGCTGTATGAAACCAACATTCTGGTTTTGTCCCTTCTTATCTACTATCAAATTTTGATACTGTCCTAAAAAATATACAGACAAGGGATGCAAAATTAGTAAGTGATACCTCACCAAATGTACATGTACGTACTACCAGCCAGGCTGCCTTGAAATTAAGCACCCAGAAAAATAAACCAAAATTGGACTTCTAAATGCACAAGGTAGGTTAAATAAAGACATGATATTTTTTCCTGCCAGAAAACAACCTTCTGCACAGTAACTGAATAGAACTCAATATACACTGTACTACTAGTAAGACATGTACATGCATGTCCAATGAGCAGTGATTGTTCAAGTTGGCAAAAAAGGTGGCAAAAAATTCTAACAACACTCTAGCAAGATGTCTGTTTGTCTTGGCCACTTACTCCTTGAGAACTAATGTATGATTTCAGAGCAACCTTTCTGGTAAACAAGCAAATGAATCTTACATTGTACCTTACTCATAGTTCTGTTGGCAGGAAACTGGTTGACTTTAGAGGAGTGAGGAAGTTTAGGAGAAGAGAGGTCAGATAAAAATTTGAGAGCTTCCGCGCCAAGGCAGGTGCCCAAACTGGCTTTTGTATTTCACTTTTTGAGATCTTTGCTTTCATGCATGAACACAGCATACTTATAAAAATCATGGGATTTGGAGTGCTAATTTCTTGCGGGTCGTGCTGAAGTACGCAAAGACGCGCAAAGATGCGCAAAGACGCGACAAGACAGGTTAATTGAATAAATAAACACCAACTTAGAATCACATAGGATTCTCTATGATACAAAAACTGTAAGAATTTGTCTTAGATAAAAATACATTAACTATGAAGAAGTTTGATTTGATAAAATTGTCCGATGCGGAACTTCGTCCGCCATCTTGAATTTATGCTAAATTCAGTAGAAAAAGATGGCGCTTTACAAGACGGGAGCGAAAATCCAAGATGGCGGACGAAGTTCATTCGGAGCATTTTATCAAATCAAACCACTTCATAGTTATTTTATTTTTATCTAAGATAATTTCTAGCACTTTTGGTATCATATAGAAGCAGATGTAACTCTAAGTTGGTGTTTATTTATTCAATTAACCTGTCTTGTCGCGTCTTTGTGCGTCTTTGCGCGTCTTGTCGCGTCTTTGCGTACTTAAGTATGACCGATTTCTTGCTACCCACAGGATACACGTGTATGTAGTTCTGGACAGTACTGGCACAAGCAATTAATTGAATTATTAGACGTTATGAGCACAGACATTCAGAATAGATCTTAAATAATGGTCTGCTGTGAGGAAAAATTTAAATGCAACACAAATTCCAAATATATAGATACACAAATCATATAAAGCATCCAAATATTTTGTTTGTTTACAACATAGGTCAAGGTCATTTGAATATTGCCTGTGTAAGACACTCTCCAATTTCCCGAGGGCTATCAGTGTGGTTTGAAGAGAAAAAAATATATACCTGTAGACATGCAACGTACAACGGCTGCAACCTGGGATCTAAAAACAGACCCAGAAGGGTTAAAAAGTGCATTTTTCAAGGAGGTCACGCCGCCCCTGAACGCAGCCATGTTTGCTTGTGGGTCTAAAACGTGGATTTCAGCCAACCATGTGTCGGAACAACTGATAATGGAAAAATCGGACAAGAGAGTAATTAGAGGTGCCATTTCTGTTATCTGCTCATGTTATGATTTTTAACATTTTTGATTCACAATAGTGAATTTTTATGGTTAATTTTTCGTTTCACGACATTTTAATCTACAATATATCCCATCATACATTACACCAGGAAGTTAACTGACACACAACCTGCCAAGATCAAGATGGGAAAGTACTCTTAGACTTCATTTATCATTATTTAATGGATTTGAGAAAAGGATGAATTTAGGGAATTCAAGCACTTTCAACAACGGGCTACTCTATGCAGGCTGGAATCAAGACCAAGGTTAGTAAGATATGTAACTTGACTGTATGATTCGTTGGGTTTGATGACAATTGACATAGACAAGTCACCACCCCCTTCTTCGCTTCCAACAATTCACCGTCTTGGCTCCCCTCCCCGCAGAGAGGGGTATCTGTGATGGTAATCTTATATTTTACCAATGGCGGCATTACATTCAGTATGTACACGCACTATAACTATGCAGCGCAGAAAACAATCCAAATTAAGCGGATTGGCATATATTTTATCACATGCTTCATGTTAAAGAGCAAAGTATTTAGATCAAGTTAAAGATTTGTCCTCATGTTTATTCACAACCTAGGTAAACAGCAAGATTCTTTTCTTAGTTTTATGGAGTTCAGAAAGCTTAACAAATGCACTGATTGTGTGCAGTGGATATTAAGTTGTACAATGGTGTATGCATTTTTTTTTTCAAGTCATGGAAGAAGTTACATGTTCATAGGTTGTATTTTGCTTAAGTTTTTTTTTCAGAAATCATCATCATTCCTCACTGATTACATTTATTGTTTGTCTTTTAGGATGTTTTGCATGTGGAATGGACAATGGTTTCCGTGTATATAATTCTGATCCATTAAAGGAAAAAGAAAGACAAGGTAAAATTTGGTATTGTTTGTATTTATGGATGCCTAATCATGCTAATCTTTTTCATTCCTACATAAGTTTGTATGTGAAATGTCATATAAAATTAGAGATATTTTAATATTTCCACTTATTAGATAAGCTGTCTTTACTTTTTCCTCCAGATTTTCCTGAAGGAGGTATTGGTCATGTGGAGATGTTATTTAGGTGCAATTACTTAGCTCTGGTAGGAGGAGGAAAAAGTCCAAAGTACCCTCCAAATAAGGGTAAGTTTTGATCCATGACTGCATGTCTACTTTTATGGTCAAGACATGTTTAAAGTCTATCACTTAAATGTCTGTCTAGGTCAAGTTTTTTAGTCCTTTTAAGCTACATATTCCATTTTCTTCTGAATGTTAGAATCTGAAATGTTTTTTTTTAATTTTATTTTAAACAAAATGCACATGTAGAATTGCTCTTGCTGTTTTCTAATATGCTGATATGAAGAAGTTTCATAAGTTAAAAGTGGGCATTTAATATCAAATTTGAGTGAAATGAGAAGTCTAATTTGAAGATATCGAATCCAAAATTGATCCCATTTCAAGGTCAGGTTTGAGGATTGGTAGTTTGGTTATCCAAGAGTGTTTTTACAGTGTTTCATAAAGTACAAGGGGTTGTTCACTCTCTTCAGAAGTGTAATTTCATCACAATATTAAAGTCAGTTAATATTTCAGTGATGGTTTGGGACGATTTGAAGAAAAAACATGTCATAGAACTAGACTTTTCTAGTGAAGTTAAAGCAGTTAGACTTCGAAGAGACAGGTTTGTATATACTGTACTATATTTTCAACATATATATTTAATTGAGCCAATGCTTGATACAATTGGTACATGGAAATTTATATAAAGATAGTAAATGTTATATCTACTTTGACTTTTCATAATAAGTTACCTTTTGTGTGGATATGATAATAAACAATTTTCTGCTATTATATCATGATGTCCTGTGTTTACAGAATAGTTGTTGTTCTGGATGGTATGATCAAGGTATATACTTTCACACAGAATCCACAGCAGCTTCATGTGTTTGAAACCTCAAGTAACCCAAAAGGTGAACCAAAGCTATTGGAATTTGTAGAGGTTATTTGCACAATGTCTGGGGGGGAATGTGCAAATTAACATGTGTTTAAGCAGTATTATATTCAAGACTACGGTCATATCCAAACAACCATTAGTCCATTATTTTGTGTGTAATAAAGTTATGAAGATACACACACTTTTCCAGTGTTTGTAAAGTGCACTCACACAATGCTCATGTAAAGCAGCTGATCAAAATTAAGGAGGTAGTGCTTCATGTAGTTCAAGTCAGTAAGAACAAGCACCTACTAGTACCAAAGACGTGTAAAATAGAGGTCAAACTTCCAATCTTAGTATCCAGGTTAAAGGTTTTAAGCAGTAGCTTTATGTTGTATTTTCAGGTCTTTGTGTACTGTGTCCAAACAGCAACAATTCCCTTCTGGCATTCCCAGGACGAAAAATGGGCCAAGTTCAAATTGTTGATCTTGCCAACACAGAGAAACCCCCCACAGAGATAGCAGCCCATGAGGCCTCCCTTAGCTGTATTGCTCTAAATTTGCAGGGCACTAGACTGGCAACAGCGTCGGAAAAGGTATGATAAGACAGCCCTGGTGTCACCATGAACTTTTTAAATTTCATGTGAAAGGTTATCCATTTAAATGTACAGGAACATCTGTTCCAGACATGTTGAAAGTTCATAAATGGGAAAATATATTTGCTTTGCTTTTTATCATACTTGATTTAGTTTCACAGTTTGTATGTTAAATGTTCCACTCAAACCATCCTTACTACACATCTTACCAACAAGTGGGGAATATTTCCATTTTCCAGGGTACTTTAATAAGAGTGTTTGACACAACAAATGGTAACCAGTTACATGAACTGCGAAGAGGTGCTAACCATGCATCTATTTTCTGGTCAGTATTTGCTTGAACAAGATTGATTAAGAGGCACATTAAGTATATTACTCTGTGTGTGTGTGTGTGTGTGTTCATAAGTAAAATTTGTCATGGGTGAAAGTTTTCAGGATTGCACCTGATTGCCAGGATTTTCAGTCTCTATTATGATTGTTTTTATTTTTTTTTTTTATTATTATTTTTTTTCATATGGTCGTAATGCAATGAGAAATTGCTAGCTTTGTTTTCAAGGTTTTCAGTTTTTACAACTTTCACCCTTGTCAATTGTTCTTAAAGACCGACTGGATGACCTTGTGGTCAGGTCTGTCTCCAGAGTGGGAGGTTGTGGGTTCCACCCCATACAAGGACATCCCAGTCCATAAACGGTGCCTGCTGTTTCCCTGCTTGGTACTCAGCACTTGAAGTAGGGTTAAAGTTCCTGGTCTGGCAGTGAAAGATATGTTATTTTGTTAGCTTTGGCTGCATCTTCGCCAAGGAGGCCATAGCATCAACTCTCTTTCTGCATCTTGCCCAAAAGTGTCCACTCATCCATTATAAATTGTGCTGAAATGCATTAAAATGGAGTGAACCAAACTTTATTTTTATTTACTTTTAATGATTTAAACATTTTCTGCTGATTTGTCATCTTATGCATATATGTCATCTATTTCAGTGTTAATTTCAACCATGATTCTTCCTTACTCTGTGTCTCCAGTGACCATGGGACAGTGCACATATTCTCTATAGAGGACCCAAAGAAGAACAAACAGTCAAGGTATGTGTAGTTAAGTATACATTGCACATTAAGGGATGGGTAATGTTAAGTAAAACACATATTTCCACATTAAGTGATGGTTGAGCCTACAGCACAACGACATGATCATTGAAGATTTATTTATCTCTCGCTGATGTTATCTAACAAAATTTTCTTCAGATCACTTGATTTCTTTGCATGGGAATCAGTGTGGCTCTCCTCTTTGCATTTAATTTTGGTAAAAGGAATAGATCAGCCTTGGTTTTCATTTAGAAAAAAGGCAAATTGAATATTTTATGGCACATTGGTAAATGTATGACTGGCTTAAATTTTATAACTTAGAGATTTTTTCAGTCAAAAAATACTGCATTTGACTTTTCAGTCTTGCTTCAGCAAGTTTTCTACCCAAGTATTTTAGTTCAAAGTGGAGCTTCTCCAAGTTTCAAGTACCTGGAGGATCACATTGCATATGTGCCTTTGGTGCTGACAATAATTCAGTCATTGGTAGGATTATTTTATTGTAATGTTATTGTTGCAATACTGTAATACTTTTCAAACAAATGACTGTGTGTGTGTGTGTGTGTGTAGAAGTTTATGAATATCCACACTCACCATTGCATTTATCACAGCGTTTTTAAATCTTGATCATTAAACAACATTTCATTGTCTTGCTAACAGTTTTTGCATTAAATGGAGTAACATTACATAAAATATATTTTTAACTGCAACAATGTAAGGAAAGTAATGTGAATTCAGCAAGTGTTATTTTTATTATAGGTCTACAAAAGCCAACCTTTCAAAAATGTAAAAAAAAAAAAAGGATATGCACTTTATGCCATCTCATCACAGATTCTCTCTCTTCAAACCTCTTTTTGCAGTATTTTTGGGTCAGTTATTTCTGGGTTTTTAAATGTGATTGCATTTTTCTTTCAGTGATATGTGCTGATGGAAGCTACTACAAGTTTGTTTTCAACACCAAGGGTGAATGCAATCGGGACGTCTATGCACAGTTTTTGGAAATGACTGATGATAAAACCTAAACCAAGTCCAAGACACAGAATGTTTGTGTCTTATATTTTTGTCATACCTTAAACAATTCATTTGTGCTTGATGCACTTTGCCATAATTCTCACAATGCTCCTAGATTAAGTTGAGTACTTTGTAAAGTTTTTGAAAAATTATCACCTGAATTAACTATTGGGAATGTATATACAGTTCCTTGAAAAGAAAATAATGTGTTCAAGCGTTGGTTATGAAATTGCTGTTAAAATTTGTGCATTGATTAATTTATCCCCCCAAAAAAATTAAATACATAATACAATCTTGACATTCAGAGAAGTTGAAAGAATTTCGATTGTACATTGTTGCACTTGTAAAAGTAGTTAATTTAACAGTAAGTATACGAATTTTTCAGGCTCTTTTAAAGATGATGTTCTGTTGACATCAAAATAGCTGACTGCATGCAGTTCTTAAAATTTTCATAACCTATCAAAATGATGTTTTGTCATTAAGATGTTTGGCTTGCTTTTACAAAATTACTGTACATTAACAATTGTGGCTATTTCAGTTATAACTGTATAAGTCAAGGCAGACAAATGGATTATGCTTTTTCTCCAAAGTTGGACACTGAAGTAAATTGTCGATCCAACTGGAGCTGTTTGGACTTTGGTGTTCATGGACTTAAAATTACTGTTGTTGCACAAACCTAACAGCAAGAATGAGGCATTGTTAAATTTGTTATGTAGATCTACAGTGGGAATTGAGGAAACTAGCCCAACAATATTTTAATGATTTTTATATGGACATGGTTCATAGAGCATGGAACTTAATATATTTACACAGTAGTGTCAGCCAGATGGCAAGCTGTAACAAGTTTCTTTGCTGTATGTGTCTTGCAGATAAACTTTTAAGTTGCTGTCTGTTCAGAGAAGTAAATATGGATTTAAGAATTCTTTGCAGTGGTCAATGCCTTTGTGGTCTGGAAAATATCCTGAACATTGTAAAAATGCAAGAGATTGTGATTTTCAAACAATGTTTGTACTTCCAGCATGAGCTTAGAGAAAATGTTACAGTCAGTTCAGGTTTTTATATTTCCATTTGTGAAACATTAACAAATGTAAAGCTGAATATAACAAATTGATTGCTTATGCATTTTATTATTCCCTTCAGTTTTATTTACCTTATCCGTGGATGAAAAATTATCACAGACTGTACGACGTATTTCATGTATTGAAGGCTTTTCTGTTACAAAATAGTACAGATTAAGCTGGGTGGAAAAATTGCTATGATTGTCTTCACAAATTCATGCATTGACGGCAAAACTGAAACGTGACCATTTCGAAAATTTTAGCAATGATTTACTTAAACAAAGTGCATGTATAATGGCGAGTTATCTTAAACGGCCAGTGATTTTAGGCAATTATTTGTCTTTAGGGTCCTCTGTGTCTGACTGCCCATCAACTTCCTCTTCGTCCTCCTCTACGTCGCCGCTTGCCAAGCCCTCTTCCTCCTCCTTTTCACATTCCGGGTCACGATTCTCTGCATCCTCTTGTCCGGCGACATTCCCGCAAGTTTTCTTCAAGTCGTGCATGAGATCCTTGAGGTCTTGACGGGCTTTCACTTGTTCCGTGCACCCGTTCAGATAGTAGTTTAGGTCAATGAGAGAGACGACAAATGCTGGGACGCCGTAACCGATGCCGAACCCCATGAACATTACAACGAGGAGCTCGCGAAAGAGCTGAAAAAAAAAAGATGTATTAGTGCAGCAAAACTTAACGTATTTAATGCCTTTTAGAATTATCCCTTATACAGGGCGTTTCAAAAATGCACCGTACTTTGACCGTTCGTTACAAATATATTATGTATGTATTGTTTTTGAGTTTTCTTTTATGGTGTATTGTTTGGCCTATATATTTTCTTTAATTTTAATTTTACTTATTCGACTTGTATCTTTGTCAATAAAAATTTAAATCAAAACCAAATTAATGTGCAGTCAAAAATAAGCACATATTTGAGACACCATGTAGAATAAAATAATATTGCGCGTGGAGCAAAAGAGCACTGTATTTCAATGATAAATGCTGTATCGCAAACTAATATCAATAGTATCAATCTGACTAACGTGATTATTCAGAGTTAAAACATACGGGACCTCTATGCTCAAATGGTTTTAACTTGTGTATTTCGTACATACCTGTGCACTTTCTTGGGCGGGATAGGGGTCGATGTTGTCGAACACATGATCGATCAGAAATACCAACGCCATTGGAAAAACGAGAATTATGAATGACTTCAGGACATCCCAGATTTTTTCTTGAAAGGCCAAGAAAATGTGTTCCTGTGAAGGGCAGACAAAAATGTTGTATCAAGAGAAAACGTAATAAGTGATTTAAACTTAAAGGATAAATAGTTCTCATTTACCAATCCATTACCCTCTACCAGAGCCATAGATTGGCATTTCACTAAACATTCACAGATATGTCTATGGTAAATCTGGTACTTGCCTGCACGTGTGAGAGAGAAGTGCACATAATTAATTTGCGGCCCTAGCAGAGGGTACATGACAGGGGCGGATTTAGGCCGTCTTCTGGGTCTTCCAGAAGACGGTCAGATTTTCATATTTACATTGATAGGAATCTAATTTTTTCTGTTGGAAGACGGTCAAAATTGGAGGATGGATCAACCAAGGACGCATATATATCAATATACGTCCTTAGATCAACAAAGATAATTTGGAAGACTGTCAGAACATAGCTCTAGATCCGCCCCTGTACATGTACCTCTCTCTCTCTCTCTCTGACACACAAGCACAACCGATGTGTCTGAAACACAACTGAAGCAAAAGCATTTTTACTTCTTACGTTGATGATTCGTTTTTCGAGTCTCTCCACACGAGCTGTCAGTTGCTTTAGTTCTTCGCCGAGTTCGTCACTTATGCGGCGGATGCACTCGGAATGTTCGATCAGTACAAATTCTGGAATAAAAGACAAAATGCATATGATCAAATTATCAAACCTCATAAGGTTTTTCAATACATAGGCCTACTGCTTGAAAAAACCCATTGTGCAAATTGAGTGCTAATACATGTATAATTAAAAACATTTAACAAATTAGATGTAAGTTGCTCCTTATACTTCATAGTTTATTCTGATCTGCAGAGGGATAACATCGATAACTTACCGTTATTCCCACCCTGCCCCGACATCTTTGGCTTGGCAGGTATGGTATCCAAGTGACAAAAAATAAATAAAAGACGTAAACTGCATGACGTTATGACGTAAATATCACGTCACAATAAATGCACGATGTTCAGTCACATTACGACGTTCGCGTGACGTTTGAACGCCGACAGAGCACAAGCATCTTTTGCGTATTTATTGAAAATTACACATGAAATATGTACGTTAACCAAGTATGGACGGCTGTAAGGAAAGCAGTAACACACGATTTACCTGCAACAATCCTCGAAAAACGAGTAGATGATCCAGAATTACAACAGGAAGGGAACCCTTACATAAGAGATATCATGAAGTTATTTAAATTTTTTCGAACAAGTTTTACCACTGAAGAAGACAAGGCAGCAATTATAATGAGCATCAGTCATTTAGCGTTCACAGGTAAATACGTGCACCGCATTGAACAAGTTGTTATGATAATCCGCAACTTTATCTTGTTTCGTGAAACCTGTTGTATACACATTTGTTTATCTTCTTTTACCAGCCCAACAATGAAGGTTTATGCCATTTCCCCTATCCCTTTCCCCCTTTTTAATCAAAATTAATTTAACAACATATTGTTTACAGGAGGGACCGAAGCAGCAAAATATGTTGGACTAAAAATAATGCCAGAGTTCATTAATATGCTCACCAAGGAGTCTGTATTCATGCAGATACACCTCTTGAAAGCAATGAGTCAAATTGTGTGCAGGGTAAACGAAAATCAAATGAAAGTGGCTGAGGATGGGGAAATCTTAGAGCACATATCGAGCATGATTGGAGACCCAAATAATATGAGGAGATCAAGATGGGCTGTGTATTTCCTAAATACTCTAGCCGCCGACAACGTAGCTGTATTTAGAAGGCTCATAAGTAAGTTATCTTTAAAATATACCCAATGAATCTTGTCATAGGTGTTTAAACACTGATACTATCAGAATTCAATATTAAACATGACATGTATCCAGTATGTTTGGTAAAATTCAAGCAAGGATGAACCTATCACTTGGTAGTAGGTAGTCATCAATTTTATTTGTAAAACATAATTTTTATAACCCATATTCCTTAATACGTCTGCACCGTGCAGTTTACAACACAGCGGAAAAGGACTGTAGACTGTAGGTAGAGTTATTTTACATTTTTCTGTAATTCATTTATTTAGAAGTCCCTAACTTAGAAGACGCCCTCCGGACAGAAGCTGCCCGACCTGAACCTTGGGGTGTGTGGGGTAAAAATTATGCGCAGGTATTGATTAGGCTGCTCGGCTACCCTACGGTCAAGACTGCGAACAAAGGAAAAGGGAAGAAAAAGGCTAAAAAGCGATAACGCCCGCTGCTTTCACGAACAGAGTATTTCATTGTCTTCATAGTGTTCATGGCATCAGAAAAAGGAATATAGTTTATGAAACGGAAGAGCATTGAATATCTACCTGGCTTCCTGCCAAGCTTTACTGCAGGACTTTAAATGCCTTATTCTCACAGTCCTACCCACAAATCGTTTTGTCCGCTACTTTGGGCATTGAGCTCTGTGGACCTTACCCATCAGCTGCTTACGGTCATCGGCTGACCAATCTTCAGTCAGACATTCCCTTAGTCTGACACATATCAAAGCACGCAGCACACAATAAAGATATCAATTATATACCACCTTACGTAAAACGAATTAGTTTAACATTATTATCTTATACAGACTGAGAGGGATTTTCCCATACCATAATTTACTAAACATTTCCTTCTCTCTGGAAGACGACAAACAGTGCTTGGTTCTCTGTAGGCCTACATATAGATGGGTTCTTCGTATCGGATCCACATTCATTCCAGTGTGTTATTTGCCGGCTGTTTAGAGAAAAATATCACAGTCTTAAAAATCGAGTTGTGGTTTTAATATTATTGTGATAACTGAAAGAATCACAACTGTTTCAAGGACAACAAATGCGACGACGGTTTCGCTCGTCCTATCATATCCCTAGAGCAGTGTTTCACCTTGCCAGGTAATACCAGAGCTTGCATATTCAAAAACACTGAACTGGGCACAAATAAGTGGATGAAAAATGCGAAACAATAAAAAATGTGATTGAATCTAAATCTTTCACGTACTGTAGTACAGTACATGTAGATAGTATTTTACCGATTATAATTCACCGTTCTCAAAAAAATGAAAAAATTTAAAGGTGAAGCTGAGGAGTTTTTTGTTTGTTTTTTGTTTTGTTTTATTTTGTTTTTTTATGAGTAAAATAAAAATGCGAGCATTTAAAATGATTTTCTTCAGAAAGAATATTCCTAGGCATAAGTTTTAATAGCTTGTTTTAAATAACCATTTTGTTCTCCCTCGTAGTTACAATGAACCTTACTGAAAAGATCATAACCCTTAGACAAAAATCTCGGGCTCAACTACTGCCTATTAGCCCACTGTTTGACACTTCAGGTCGTCACTGGAACAGAGGAGCTGTAAGTTATCCCCGTGTACCTCATCGGCCACCGCACTGTGCACTGGGAATGTATTGAAGTTCACCCCAGGGGGTGGCTCCTTCGAGTACTCCGTCGATCACAACTCGTCCACTTAATGCATTACACCACAGTGCTATGCCCTTGTGCGTGACAGATCGATCTATACTTTTTGATCGGTTATTAGTGGCTAACACCCCTTATCCGCAAAATTACACGAGATATGGGTTTTATTCGGTGATTCACCTTCAAGGCGATTCTCTTACTTAGAGCGGCAGACCAGCGTTGTAACAGCTTGTATTAAAATATCGGTTGGTTTTTAAATCGCGGGAAATTGAATTAATATTCAACAATCTATCACAGAAGCAAGCATTGGGAATTTTAAAATGGTCTCCATATTGGGGAATCAAATCTCTGTTGACAGCCGTAATTACATGTTTGAAAATGACCGTTGCTCATGATCGCAGGTAATATTGTCCTGTTTGGCTGTAATCATCGATCTCTGCGAGGGTTGTCTCGGGAGCCAGGGACAGGCAGCTGGCGCAATGTTATCGTTATACGAGAGGGAATCGAGGGAGAAATGCACTTGCGGCCTTTTAGATGTTACGCTTAACCCACAAAACAAACATAAAGCATCATATGTCTTTGTATCATTTTTTTTTCTTTTTGGATAAGAGTCAAGATTTTCTATTGTGACTGACATATTTTTATCCTATATATCCTATTATGAATTAAGCGCTACCTGCCCATGCTATTCAAACCTCAGACGTCAAGCAAACCTCAAACCCCAAAGTTGCATTTTAATGTTGTTTCTGGATACCCGTGTCTACACACATCTTTGAATCAGGATCAAAATTTCTAGGAGACTTTAGTTCCACAGGCACAACAGCACTTTCACGGCCGTTTATACTAGGAGAAGGACGGGAAAACTCCGGTGCGAGGTAGGTCAGCGTATTGTAAAGCGCGTTTTAATTTTGTTTTAGTTGACTGAAACTGCTCTGGCGAGTTTCTGAAAAGTTGGAAAATAATGAAAAGGTATTTCTAAATCCTTATTTACGTGAAGTATAATTTGGTAGATGCTTTTCACACTCACAACTATTTTACATGTATTATTGACTACCATGACTTCGAAATGTTCACAATGATTTCAAGTCGGAATATTGTTAGATTCTATCATTTTACAAAAATAAATTATAACTGATCACGACACGAAGTATTATTCCGACCCCTTAGATTTAATGATGCTACGTTATAACTAATAACAAGACACCAGGTGCAGCGCAATACATCAGGCAATAATAAGAGGTCAAAAAAGGATAGATAGATAGATAGATAGATAGGATGGAAGAAGAGACCAACTGACCGACCGACAGGCAAACAGATAATAAGCGAGTGTACAAGACATACAGATATATAAACATTAAAAAGTTGGAAAGTAAATTAGAAAAAAACTGATGCACAAAACAAAATCGATATCAGTTATATTATCTTGATTTAACATTGTAAAACTCCGGCGACCGGAATGTGTGCCGGCTGGTTCGGTGACATGTCAAACTTAAGGCGTGGTACACTAGCAGTTGGCGATCACGCAGCATGTTGTGTAGGTTCATTTATACAAGCTGTGTGGATCACGCGTGCTTTAATAGTACATAGTGTTCGTTATTTTACGGGGAACAAAGTACGCAACATCGGGGGCGTGGTAACTTATACACGCCGCACGATAAGCGCCTCACGAAAAACTGCCAGGGGTTTGTTGTTTTTGCCTCTCGGTGGATTGTGTTCTTCTTCGCATTGGCAGTGTATCAGATTTCTACAGACAACTGGCCTATCTTCTTCACTGAGTGAACGTCTTTTTACCATGTGTTGCACGGCAACCTGTTCATGACAACTGGCATCTAACAGAGCTGTTAAGACAGTTCAGAATTTGAAATCTCAAACGAATATCTGCATCCTTCATTCTTGGGACGTTTAATTTTGTCGTGTAGTATGATATCTTTCAGCGACTACCGTTAATACATCAGCAAGAGCGGAATATTTCATTTTGTCCATCACCGGCTGGATAAATCCATGTGACGTCTAAATTCTAACCATGGGTGCGCCAAAGTTGCTTGATGAGCTGTCCAAGGCAGAGTCAGGCCAGGCTACAGTAGGGGCCCGTTACAGAATTAAAGAAGAAGATGGCAGTAGGCGTGTGTACCAGGCAGAACAATGCAGTTGCGTCCCCCCTCCTGTTTTCATTCTTGGAATCACTTTACTTGAGGTAAGAGGTTCTGGGAGGTGTTACAGGACTACAACTAAATTTTTTTGTTGCTCATAACGCTTATACATGTATCTATTTTTAATGTCGTTTTATAGAAACACAATGCGAGAGAATACAACACGTAGAATAAGCGTAAATACTTGATTGGCAAGTGTGATCCATGAGTCATGATATGAACATTGTTTACACATAAATGTGAGTTTTTCAATGTCAGGGTATACGCTTTTGATATCGGTCTTAGAAATCGTAGAAAATGGATCTTCTTCATGAATTTTGCATGAATTTTTCTATAAAACTATTTTCACCACACCTTATTAACCCAATGAAGTGTCGACCTGGCAACGATCGTATTTACGAAATAAAATGTGAAGGGGTTTTTACTAGGAACAATGAAATTAACCAGATAATGAAAATAAAACACACAACTGATTTACTGCGTTTTACTTTCGATACATCCAGTGTTTTTAAAGTGTTTATTGATGCCGTTTGATCGAAACGGTCAATTACAAAAATTTAAACAATGATGAATGAATAATTGAGGCATCACTTAACTGTTTTAAGTACTTTCCCACTTCCTTTTCTCTCAAACTAAATTGACTAACTGAAATTGAAATCAGCCGTAGATTTGCTTTCAAAATTGATGCTTTGAACTCGAAACAGGACCAACGCGCTTACTGAGCACCATTTACTGCTGAAAATCCGCCAAGGCAGCAAAACCTATGGAGTAATATGAACCAATAGATAGTGAGAGTAGATAACAACCTACGCCCTCCCACGGGGCAGCATAATTGAAAAGAATTCGATCTGTGGATTTCAAAATTCACTAAATAACTTCCTCAAGAGCATCTAATAAATGAATTATCTTAAACATTAGACCACCGTGTAAATAACAAAGCAGACACGACTGGGCACTACACATATGCGGGTAGTCAGCTGGAAAACTTGGCGGGATTCGTGGGATTCAGAGTGGGGGAAAAAGGAAAGAGTAAAAAAATAACAGAAACAGAGGAAAACAAAATCTCCAACATTGTTTACGTGCTCTCCAACCACCTACCATCTTATCTGCCATAATCAATAGAAACGTTAATTTGGGTTAGACAACAGTTAAGACATATTTAAGGCAGCAAAACCTATGGCGTAATTTATATTTAAGGTTCTTTAGAGATGTTTGTTGTTTTTTTCTGCTTGATCAATAGATAGGGTAATTGTCTTACACATGCAGCAGTGTCATTACTCACGTTTTTCCGATTTTTCGTAATAACCGCATGAGTGGAAAGTGAAAAAACAAAATAAGCTTATATTATGAACTGTTTACTGGAGTAGGAGTACACATTCGCCTTTCATCCACCCATTAAATTTGTGTTTTTATTACGATTTCTTTTTAACTTTATGTATCATATTTACTTTTATTTCTAGATTCTCTTTTTCGTGTACAGCCTCAGTGGCAGTTGTGACAGAGACCGAAACGCCATACCCATCATTCCCAACAGAGACAGTATTGTCGTATACAGATCCGATAAAAAGCGAGAATTATGGAGATTTGTGTGTTACGTTCTTGTGCACGAAGGGTAAGTCCCTCGAATATTTTCCTTTTTTTTTTTTGTACCTTTCTTAAGTTTCAGAGAAATTCATGCCCTGTTTACGAAAATGATGATTGACCCTCCGAATAAATAAGGTTAATGGCATCAAGAATACGGACCCGAAACTTATATTTCTTATGAACAAAATATTATCAGGCCAGGTTTTTCTTTTACTGAAAATTACTTTAAATACAGGTATGTGTAAGTATAATGATAGAGGCTCAGTTCTTGTGATGTAGTGGGCGTTGGAATAACACTGTTAAATGCACCATATATGCAGTAGGTGTTTTGCTGACCTTTTTAGAAGTCAATAATTCAATGTTATCAAAAAGAAAAAAACAATGTATATTAACCTTACAAAATATCCGAAAGACATAGAAATTATACATGGCAGTACAAATAAATGTAACTGCACTCTTCCTCTACCCTCTACCAGGGTTACAGATTGATTTTTTTATTATATATTCACAGACGTGTATCTGGCTAATTCATGGCATGATTCTTTGCTGTCGTGTTGAAAAAAATGCACATTATCAATCTATGGCTCTGGTAGACAATACTCTTCCCCGCTTGAAATATCACAAGGGTTGTAGTGTGGTTGCCCTCGCAGACGATGGTTTGGTTGGCCTTCTAAATTTCCCCCGTACGTTACATTCATTTTATTTGTTTTTATACTTTTACATGTAATGCTGTCACATATTTGGTCCTTTTCTACCTCTGTTCAGGCCTACAGCAGTTGATACCCTGAACCTTCCACGTACATCTACTCATATTTTAGGTGGATGCACCTCTTTTTCAACATGGTTGTGCAGCTTCTAATAGGTCTTCCCTTAGAGATGATCCACGGCTCCGTACGTGTGTGTATTGTATACACGGCAGGAGTGGTCGGAGGTAAGCTAATACATTGTATTTGTAGTCCCACGTTAGGCAGAGACAGGTTGCCCCTCCCCACTTTTGCAAAAATGACGAACCGCCTCTTTCATCGTCCAAAAAAAAAAGAAAAAACGCCCACTTCGGGGGCCAGATAATCATGTTTCATAAACTTCAAATTGTGTATGCTTGTATCTCGGCCTTGAAGAAATGTGTACAGCACTGTGCATTTACATGTAATGCAAAAGTTGCCAGCGTGACGAAAAGTCGGTGCATAGATATTTCCTGTAGGCTTTGTTAGGTTATTTCTATGGATATTTCCAAGAAACTTACTATTCATAAATACATGTATTGTCGTTTAAACTGTATCCTATACTCTAATCAGCAAAGTACTGACAACTTGGTATTTTTTGCCAAACAATTTTATAAACAACGAAAATTACGCATGCAAATAAGATACAGAAACGTTTAAATCTTTTGAAAACGTTACGCTTTTCAAAGCACTTCAAGCACCTCGTATGTCTCAGGCTACATGATTAGTGCTTTTCTTTTCTCATAATTTTTCTTTTCTTTCTTTCCTTTTTTCGTTAGCTTCGCTCGGTACTACCATCTTCCTTCAAAATGTTGTGTTAATAGGAGCCTCGGGGGGAGTGTATGCGCTGCTGGCAGCTCACGTAGCCGATGTGATACTGGTGAGTACGGCATCATCAAAGACTCTTTTGAATCTTAGACGGCTATTTTGCTTCACAAAGAATCTTAAAGGTCGTGTAGCTCGTCTTTTCAGTCTTTTAAGCCCCTAGGGCAAACTGCGATAGTTTTAATATTGACAATGATATTTACTCACTCTGTTAACTGTAATCTATTTAGGTAGACCTATATTAACTATATTTATTGTAGGCCAGTCTTTCAATAAAAGTGGTGTCACCTTCCGGCTGTCCGATTTTAACAGTCTAAGCTAAGCATTAAAACTGACTTTTTGTTGAATGGTGAAAATTACAATCATTGTCACCACTACTGCATTAATCCCTGCAAAGACTACTGCATTTTACCAACTGAAATGGAGTGCGACGGTTAACATGGCTGTCATTATCACATCTACCGCATTAAACAGAACTGTCACAGCGGCAATCCCTACTCTTGTAGCAGTCCTAAATCATCCCAGAATTCACGTAATTATTGTCAAATCTACCGCAAATGTCATTGTCATCATGGTGAACATTACAAGAAGTAATACTTTATTTACAGTGACATCTTGTCATTGGTACAGTACGGCAATGCATCACAGGACAGCAGTAGTGGTGAATAGAAATAGACCTGCAAATCAATAAAAATCATCATATGTATAATTACTTATCACAAGCAATACCAAACTACATGAAATATCGGGATCCTAACGATGATCATTCTAGTTACTGTGACATTCACACAACATACTAGCACAGGCGGTATCCTTTGGTCTCGTATAATGTATTTTCTTTTATTTCCAGAATTACTCCGAAATGGAACTAGGATTTTTGAAGATAATTGCAGCCATAATAATAGGTAATACAACGTGATTGGTGGTTTCATATTACATACATTTACTTATTTAAGTTACTTCCCACCATCACACTTTTTATTCATCAAAGTTTGATGCAGATAAAAAGCCGCGGCTGTTTCATCGTTGTTATATGTGTTTTTCTGTCTCTTTTAAAATCAACCAGATGTTCAAAACATATGAATATTGTAAGTACCATATCTTTTTTTTCTTTTCTTTTTTCTCGCACAGCTTCGACTGATACCGTTGCGCTTCTTTGGAATCAATATTTCGACGTCAGACGTAGTGACCTGAAAAGTTCTTCCTTTTCCCAGACGTACATAGCACACCTTATTGGGGCCGTCTCTGGGCTTACAATGGGATTCATCGTACTGAAGAACTTCCAACCCAGCCCCCATAGCAAGGTGGTCTGGTGGTTGGCAGTGGTGTCGTACGTCTCTAGTATGCTGTTCGCCATCTGGTGGAACGTAGACCTTGGATAGCACCAGCTGTTGATGTGTCTTCATTTCTCGTTTGAAACTTCACGTGCTCTTTCTTGGTGGCGTTTGAATTAAGATGACTGTAGCGAATGCGTGTAGCTTTGAACTTTCTGATTTCATTTTTGTGTGGATTTTAACTTCAAGGTATATGTATCAGTTTGGGCTCGTAAAAACTCTTTTGGACAGACGCTGTATATCTATATATTTTTCTTAAAAGCCAAGCTGCATTCATATCTTCATCTCAAAAGCTTTTCATTGTTTTCCGCCTTTTAGTTTTCGCATACTAAAAGAATATTAAATGTGAATTGGTGCAATAAATAGAATCTATCCATTGTTTTCCGTACAAGGCACTGGGTTTTACTCGGGTATTGGGATTCTCTTTTTGACGGGGGCGGATTCGATTAGATTCGCTCAAAAATTCTAAAATAGCAGACAAAAATAATCTTACTGTAATATGTGGGTACAGGGAAGGGGATATTGCTTAGATTGGTCAGGTCTTGCTTGTTACGCTCTATCTTGGGAGGGAGAGGAGGGAAATGGGGGTACCCCCGAAGTAATGAGACCACGTGACCCACTGTGCCAAGCCTTGGACCCGCCATTGGCTAGCCTAAACGTTTATTTTTGACTAAACATTAAACGAGTCGGCTAAAAACGCAATTTTCGTTGCCTTCAAATTAAGAGTGTTAATAACTGTATATTCGTCAAAAGAAAAACCTTATAATACCACAAAGCGGTTTCTTGTTTTTACTAAATTATGGCTTCAAACCTAGATGTTTAAGGTGAAACATCCAAATCTTGAGTATTTAAAATAGATGACAGAGTACTATTGAAGTGACCGTCATCAAAATGGACATACTACTTTTTATTTAAGCATTGTGAAATGGGTTGAAAGGCAACCAAAATCAATATCTCAAGATTTAGAATATAGAACGCACTAAGACAAAATACAATAATCCCCACCAGCAAGTTCTATAATGCTTACATGGAGTCTTTGTCAAGATGCCATCTATTTCAATTTAAATGCCAAAGAAATTCATTACTTATTATGGCATACACATACATACATACATACATAGACACATTAAAGATACGAATTTTGGTACACGCGCACACATCACACCCGCACACGCGCTCTTGCATGCATGCTTATTTAGAGAATTGTACGGGTGCTTCCCTCGTACATAAAGTTGCGGTTAATACCAGCACATGTATTCTATACTACCGTTAGGCAGCGTGGCGAGCTACCTCAGAAATCTATCCTCTACTCCTAAGGGCCTCATGAATATCCGTTTGCCGGAAAAAATCTGTGAACTTAATTGCTTCGCACAACAATTGGAATAGAACTAGCTCAAGATCGCCTTTTTATAGGGTTTGTGTTTTCTTGTATTATTCATTTAGTGCCTTTGTATTCTAAAAAACCATGAAATTAACGATTGTGTATCACTCTTTAGCAAGTAATTTGTTAAATCAGATTTATTATCACAATTAAAAGAACTATTAAAAATAATGAGGGGAAATTTCACTAATAAATATAACTAATCCGTTTAAAATGTGACCCAAAACTGCCTCGTGGAACTTGATAAATCTTCAGCGAATATCTAAGAGCTTCCACGACCAAGATTTTTCAATAGTAACTTTCGAACAAAGCCATTTGTCGAATATGTGCTATTGTTTCCTAAGCAGCCAGGCCAAGCCTGATCGCCTCATGAAAATATTTTCTTCCTTTGAGACCGATCTAATTCAACGAAGGAGTAACTGTACTGAAATTGCTTGTATTATAATGGATGGTATTCTGACGGGCGCGGAATCCCTAACATTTTTCAAAACAATTAGATAATTTCAATACTTGGTGGCATACAGTGTAGCGCTGGAGTGGAAGACATGGCGATCGGTGCTGAAAATGGAGAGCGGGTGAGTTATGGCTTAAGCTGGGAAGTGGCTATGTTAATCCTCGTGGAATGCTTTACATTAATCTGGCTTCATCTAGTCCCGATGAGTGTGATTGATTTACATTTTGCAATATCTGTTTTCAGCAGCGAGTTCACCTAAGAGACAGGTAAGAAAGAGCTATGACCTTTGAATAGGAAAGTTGCTGTGTATAATCCGAGGAAAGAAATATAGTGCAGAAATGAAAATATTATGCAGAAATCTCGGCATGTTACTGGTAAAGCAACTCAGCAAGAATGCAAATAATTGTGTTTGTGGGAAACACCTTCACGAAAACTGTAAGAATGCAATGTAGCAGCTCTCGCAAAATGAAATCAAAATGGAAATGGCTTGATCTTCCAAGGACACGTCTCTCACTGAGATATATGTTGTTCTCAGAGGGTATCATGAGACGAATGATCTTTTTTTTTGCAGAGATAAAGGGGGAGATGTACTATGCATTCGTCACATGGTTATCATGCTAAAAAAGCCATAAGACAAAGCATTCCACAAGTTTTGACCTTTATCAGACCTAAACCGCTCTTCACGATGACATGCCGTTGTTGATTAATTTTAACTTGAATGTGGAATACTTCATCTTAATGATTTCTGTTTAAGTCTAACATAAAGATAGAACGTATAATATATATTTGGGGGCAACCATTTTTGAACAGACTCGACAAAAGAACCATTTGGTTCACGTGGTATTATATACACTTTGTCCAAGAAGATTGCTGCAGCCTTCCATATTTGTGAATTTCGCGTAGATTTCTTTTTGCTTGACTCGAAAAAATTTCGAACGGAACGTCATTAAAGATGCACATTGCAAAAGATATTCATTCTTAATAGCGACACTTGCATGTCTCCCTTTTCAGTGAAAAAAAACCCCTTAAATTCAAAACTTACTACATAGTATATGAATCTGTCTTGAATGCAATTGATTCTCAATACTCAATACGCGTTTGTGGTCAATGCTCAAATATGCTTGATGCTTATTGGGCACTTGTTGCACTACATAAACATCATCACGAGTATTGAAGGCAATTGGCCAACTATGAAATAATAATAATAATAATAATAATAATAATAATAATAATAATCTTTAGGTGTACCAACCTTTTTGGGAACAATTATATCAATTCTCCCTAAGCCTCATAACCTAAATTATGACACGTTTACGGACACAGGGATGAAAATCGTATTGATTTTTATCTTATGATGGGTTACAAGGGACAAAAGCTTACTGTGCATTAAAACCGCATAAGGTACAGTGTATCTAATCGGACGTGAAGGACTTCCTTGCAACCCCACAAGAAATTTAGTGCCATGTAATATAAGATATTGAATGTGTTTCTATGAATATGGCATTAGTGGGTTGCGGAAATAAAGGTCGGTCTAATCAAAGCCTCCTTTTTGCCGTAGACGCTTTAATGCCTTAAAGAGTTCTAGATACGGAGACATACCTTGGATTGTAGCACTGGCAAATATTAAAGAAAAAAGAAGGGAAAACAGGGGTATATTTATTTCATAGCTATACAGATTTATAAAATTATTTAGAAATAAGTCTATGAACAAAGTGCTATATTTCACACACACACACACACAAAAAAAAAAAAAGACTAAAAAAATATTCAGCCAATGAGAGGCCGAAAGCGATCAAAGTATTCTTAAAAAAGTTTAATCACTTTAAAGACAGTGTGGAGGTTTCGCAACAAATACCGCAATCATAGTGGTTATTTTAGTTGTGCGGCCGAGCAAGATTCTAGTCATATTCTGTTTCAACATCGATGAGTTCTAATGATGATACGATACAAAGTACATGTGTCTGCTACATCTATGCTCTATACAAGACTTCATGTGGACGAGAAAACCGATGAGGCTTTGGAAACTTGATTGCGAACATGTAACCGATTAACCTGACAGAAAGCTTTAGAAACCTCGGTGTTTTCACATCAATTTAAGTTGACATTTAAGATAGATGTCTTTTGCGTGTCACACTGAGTAGAGGTGGCAGGGTGACACTTCTTTTTCTCTATCTTCAAAGACAGATGACTCATCGACAATAAAGAAGTAGATTAAAAAGATACATCCTTTCTTTCAAAATCATACCATTGTCTTTCGTGGATCATCCGTGTAATGGCGGAGAAGACACACCTATTATATAGGCTAATACGTATTATAAGAATTGCCTCCTCATTTAAAGCTTGCATGAACTCCATGAGAAAAACATCACGACATTCTGGTATAATAGCAAAGTGGGGAGAAGGCGGTTATGTCCAGGCATGATCAGATCGGTTTTCACAAGAAGCTTGAATCCTTACTTCAGGAAACAGTGACGTGAATGCAGTGCAGCCAGTCCATTCTCTCGGTCCTCCCGGAAATCGCAAATTCTGTTGACCGCTTAACGCCGGTTTAAAGGGGGTTGTACAGCAATGGTTAAAATCAAGTTACTACTCTCAATGTCCTCAAGGGGCACAATTAATGTCGCTATAAAATGTTTTTCTTCAAACAGCTCTAAAAGCAACTTCATTATAAGTAATCTCGGCCACAAAAGAAGTTAAACGTCTTCGATTATTGCCGCTCCTTAGAAAAATAATTTTAAGACTTAGATGCGAATGATATTCACAGTGCTTAAACGATGGACACGACCACATCTACATCACCAATAATTTCATTTTAGCGAGACACCTTAAATTCCGTTGACAATATCATACAGCCACAGAATGTCCACAATTCATACTTTTTAACAGAACTCGTGTCCTTTTTCTATTTAGCTAAGCATATATACTGTACCCTCTACCAGGGCTGCATCTATTATTGTGGACATTTTTGCTGTGGTGACAGAGATTGGCCACTTATTCAACCAGAGACATATCTGTTAATATCTAGTGAAAAATCATTCTGTGGCCCTGGTAGAGGGTAAGCATACTGGCTGATATTCCAAGTCTGTCATTTAAAAGATGCAATTAACAGCGCGTCTAAATCTCATGTGTTAAGATGGAAATGGTTCTGAATCGAATTAAGTGACAGCTCAGTAATCAATCGAGCAGAAGTCTACATAACATGAATGAACAGATATACCGAACCAAACTGTGTGAACTTAAAGGGCCTAATTCTGCATGGATTTCTATATGTTAGATGTCAGAAATGATATCAAATGCCAATGTGGCAAAATGCCCAAAACGCAGAGTGAACGTGTCTACTAAATGTTGCGTCTAGCTCACAGTCAATCCTGCTTGATGCTAATAAACCTTTCTGTCTTTAGCCTTTCCCCATCTCGCAGTTAATTCACGTCTAAAAGCATCGAACTAATGACTGCTCGTATTCAATCGAGACATTTAGAGATGAATTAAACATAAGCCGAAGGCTGACATAAAACAGATCTATGGTGACTTACTATCAATCAAACGCGACAAAAAAAGCATAAGGAATAAAAGCCGTAAAAATGCGTTAAACGTAACCCAGGTCGCGTTCAGAACGGCTTTAAGAAAAACAATTTCAGTTTAAATGCCGGGAAGAGAACGTTGGATTGCACGTCCCGCTACGAAATCCCTCTGCAACCCCAGAGTTGAGTGGTAACATTATGAGTATGGCGAAATAATAGAGAACACAGCTGATTTTATTTAAAACGTTTCTTTCTAAAACGGTGCTGAACACGGCCTTTTTACTTCTCCATTCGGTGATAAAGCAACCATTTCCTGTTGGCTCAGAAAGAGATTGCCTTCTTTAATTTAATTGCAAAAAGTTTTAAATGCAATAAACAACATTATTAAAGCATCGATGGAGATCTGAAGGCTTATTAGATAGTGCATCTCATCAAAGAGCGACACGGAAATGGGACTAATATCTGGAAGAAACTAAAATTACTCCATTTAACGATCCCATCCAACTTGAGATCGAATTTTTCATACATCTGAAAAGCAAAAACACAGCCGTGCTCAGTGGGTCGATGTGCATGACGTCTCATAACATTAATAAATCGCAATATGAGTTCTGTTTTGCAAAGAAGGCATACACACCTCATTATCTACGACACCTACTTGTTTTTATTACTTTTCAAGATCTGGGTCTCTTTTCCACTTTGGTTATTTTCTTAAAGGGATGTTGTGTGACCGGCGTGATATCTGCAACGATTCTGTATCATTTCCGCACACTTTATGTCACGAATCCCATTATTCATATCATTTCATAAAGTTGTCACAGAACGAAGTGGAACAGAAGAAAATAGAATAAAATCACCGCGTTCGCATGCAAAAAGGTCAATTTCTATCACTGTACTTTTTATGTCTAGTCATTGTATAGGCGTTGAAATGAACTGATAGAGCAAAGGTGGTGGCCTTTTCTTCCGTGCTTTCTTTGCTTCGTCATGTCTAACATGTCGTATCAACCAAACAACTTTGGAAGTAGTGAGCCTTTTCTAACGGTTTCTCTATATTTATTTCTGTTTTTTTCCTCGTTTTTCATATAGACACATCTGAATGAAAAAAAAAAAGGTTTTACAACTATGAAGCAGAGTGCCATTCATTGTGGTGGACATGCAAGCATTTTTCTTCTAAATTAATCGTTTGGATGATAGATCGAATGATCTAAGAATGAAGGACATACTATTTGTTTATCATTTATTTTTGTGTTTACGCCAACTTCAAAAATGTTACTTAACAAAGTCACGTGGCGTGATGGATTCCAGAAAGGGCATTGTGCAAACCACACAGAATAAACAATAAACAAAAACACGTTACAGTACACGTTTTATGATAACATCATAAACTTGTCAACGTTTTCTAACCAATTTTGACAAGCGGCATATTCTATTAATTCAGTATTTTAAACAAAGGCCTCTGATTTAAGAACATCGAGGCGTAGGATGCAGGGTATTCAAATCGTGAACCAGTGCTTGATTAGAATGCCGCAGGTGCACGTCGTATTCTTCACAAAACTGATCGACTTTTCAAAATTTTAAAAGCCAGTTAACAAAATGCCAGATATGATTGAGTGGAGGTGTTTAGTGTTATGTTTAGAGAACAGCTAACTCTAACCGCAGTCTATAGTAATTATGTCTCTAGACAAACCGGCAAGGTGAACATTCACATTCACAAAGAAGACAAAAACACATACGTACAGTAGATCTGGTGACTTCCTGTTGATATGAACAGGGTAAACAGGGTTAATGATATGGATTTATGGACATCCACGTTTAACTTGTGCATTTTATAACTTATTTCCATGGTTTTTACAGGACCCAAATGTAAGATAATATTGCAAAAGCTTGGGTTTCTGGTACGCGGAATTGGAACCGTCAGGGGATAAGGCAATGGGCATTTTAATGCTCTCCCACTAAAGACACTAAAAGGAAGGACGTGGAAATCACATTTTTATACATTAAACTAATGGAATACTTATCAAGCTGTTGTCTCATAAAGATTCGACCACATATCCAGACGACGTCTGCCACCATTTCGGCTGCTTCTAAATTAAGTGGTTGCATTTTCCTGCCAATTTATTAAAAAGTTAAAACTATACAACAAAATTAATAAATGCTGCAAGAACTCTTGTAGAAGTAAACATACTGGCGAAGCGTGACGAGATATCCGAAGCAAATGATTACATATTGCATTTACATTATATGAAATACAAAACTTTCGGCGATATATCCCTGTTACCTCCAATGATTATGCGAAGTAAACGCCGCTGAATGTACATGTAGAAGTGGTGGCGGGTAGTCTTTCCTCCAAAGCTCAACCCGATAGTTTGTCCGTTTATGCCAAAACATAACACTTAATTATTAAACATAACAAATGTTTTTTTTTTTTTTTTACAAATTTGAGGTACAGTGTATGTAGGGAAAATAATACCATGTATTTGTGACATGCACAGGTCAAACAATGACATACGTTTTTTATTCACACAAAACGGCGAGCCTTAAAATGAAATTAATCAGCTTATTGGAAAATATGCTTCAAAAGTGTTAACAGTTATGTGTTTGTTAAATTTTTTCAGAGTTTGTCAAAAGGATAATCAAAGCGGGGGAAAAACGAAGAGCAAGCGCAGAAAGAAAACAAACAACAAATTCAAATATTGCCTAATGCAAGAAACCGTGACGAAGTTTTCAAACAACGCAAAAGATGATGCGAAACAGACTGAATACTGATGCTGAATATCTGCATTGCAGCTTATGGCCGACGTCAGAGATGTATTTTCATTGGACAGTTGGACAGTTTACGTATATTCAATTACAAACCATTGCCTGTTTGGGGGGAATCGATGAATGCTGCCATTAACAACACCTTTCTAGTCTTAATCACCCATCATCTATTTGCACGCAAGGTGTCTCTTTAATTTCTGTCGCGTTTAGTCTTATTAAAACATCGATAGAACTAAATTTGAGGATTGTTGAGGACAAAACAGGAACTTGCGTCGCACCTCCCACACGAAGAGATTTTGGCTTAAAACCTTGTTTAAGGCACTCCAGCTTTCCATTCAGCGATATTTAAGTTCATGTCGTAGGGCACTTTATGTTGAAGATAAGCATGACGATAATTCAATTTCCGTTGCTTATGTGTGTATGTTCAGCCATTGTATCTGGATTTGTTAATGATGACATCAAACATCTACAGCATTTTGGCTCCAGTTACAACGTAAACAGAGATTTACTTCGAACCGTGATTATGTCAGTGCAAGGAATATTACATTTTTTTTCGGAAGAAATCGAAAACGTGAATCTAGATGCGATAATCGGTACCAGAATTGCAGATGGTAAGACGGATGTTGAGAATTAATCATAGTAAAGTCAGTCTCTCTGGCTCTCTCTTTTAGTAAATGTAAAAAGAGCATTGCTGTCTTGTGTCGTTCCCATGTCAAGGTTTTTAGTACTGTTAAGAAATAATGTTAACTACATTTAGAAAACAATTTATATAGATACGATTTAATAGTTTACTAGAGTTGGCATTTTACCTAGGTTGTTAATCACCGTTGAGAAATCACACCGTTTCCCCTACGTGTTACTTGTTACATTGTATCGATTTTCAAAAACTTTTTAGAATATTAGGTCGGCTTGTGTCAGATTCAGTCCATGTGCATGAACGATTTTTAAATCAAAGGAACAATAAGTGACAAACTCTGGGATGCATTTGACTTCTTACATAACACCGAACATTATTGAACCGATTCAGTCAGCCAAAAGAACATGGCTTTGTTACGGTGAAAACTACCGGGGTGCTTTGTTGCATGAAGATTAATGAGGCTGAAGACAGTGGATATGTACTAATTAACCTGCATTTTCTTCTCTTAACTCGTGCCATAGACATAAGATTATGTACCACAATTAAAACTATGGTGTTGAGAATTGAATTTATCACATCATGTCCATTGTACATTCTATTCTATACCATTTCTTTATTATGAAAATATTTTGAGCAAGTTGAACGAGTATCGTTATAAGTGTTGAGATGCCACATTGTCGTTAATCACAGGGTGTTTCACCCCTGGCAAAATTTTTATCTCTACCTTTGGTCAGTCTTGTCTGTTGGCCGTAGGTTTTGTTAATTTACAGCAAAAAAGAATTCATAAATGATAAAACTTAGTATACAAAACGAAAGCTAAGTCACGCCAGTTAACATTAACCTAGACGTTGAACCAGCAATACGGGTGCTTTATGAATAATGTGACATGTAAATAAGAGGTTGAAATCATTTATTTGCTTGAAAGTGTGATACTCCTAACATTTTTAGTTACACATTTGCTGTGTTTTGTTTTTACTATCAGAGATAAATTGATAATTTTTAAAGTTATGAAATGCCATGCAATATAGGTAAAATGAAGTAAAAAGTCAAACATTTTAGCATTTCTCCAAATATTCTGATATATATATATTTGAAATTATACATTATACATTAAACATTTTAAGTAGCCCATGTACAGTACTCAAGGGTAGGCGAATCTTAAAATTTGTTGTTTTTCGCGTACCAAGACAAGAAGCACACACGAAATACGTGGTGACATCCCGTGAAGATTGTCACCATGTGACATCGATGACAGCTCAACATCAGTCCAACTGAAGAGGGTCTTGTAATAAAGTTGCGACACCCGTTTCAAATACGTATGATCCAGTAGTAGAGTCAATATCATTCCCAACATTATGTTAGATTGAAATGAGTTTTTCGTGGGAAATTTTTACCCCGGACACCTTAACAAAAATACAAAGGGCTGTGCCCCCATTTGGATCTGCCACTGGTTATATATTGATGATTGGGTATATCAAAGTCCCTTCCATTCAACTTGAGTTGTGTAAACCTAGGCCTATACTATGTTCTAGTACACTTTATTGTGTATTTTAACCTCTATACCCCGAGTTCCAAATTTTGCTGGAAGCTTGCCTCCACTATACTGGTACATCAGTGTAGCTCTGCTGTTTCCAGTACCTCGGGCTTATTTAAACTGTCCTGAGGCGCATTATGGAAGATGTTCAAAATCACCAACATTTTCTTTAAATAGGTGTATTGACGTAGTGAGGCCTTCTGTGATTTCCAGTGTAATTTCAAATTAGGGTTTGTATTAGGTAGGGTTTACATTAAAGCTTACTTCCTTCTAAATTATCTAGCATGCCATTAAGGTGTCATTCTTTTTATTTGCTTGAAGTAATGCAATAAATCATTAATGCTTGAACTATCCAACTAAACAAGGATTCGAAACGCTCTCATCATTTCTCGTGCACCTTAGTAGAATATTGGTGAGCTCACTTAAGCTCTAAAACTTTTCTTTCCTCCATTTTTACATCATTTATTTATTTACTTATTCATTGCAGTCTTTGTCTCATATTAACGTGTCCGTACCAATATGTCGACCCACTGATAATATTTAAGTGGTTTGTTTGTATAAAGAGACATATGTTAGTTTTCGTCTGAATATTATATGTGTCGTCTAGCCGGAGCGGCTGCGTCAATCCGCTCTTTCTTTTAAGATTTTTTCAGAATGTCAACGAGCAGCCAGGGACACCTTTATGCTCGTGCTTTGCAACAACCCTACCTCGCCTTTCTGAATACTTAGAAGACAGGAAATTAATGACTGAAAAAAAGGAGGCATTCAATCCTTCAGTAGTGCACGCTATACCTTTTAAAAAATCAAAATGTATATAGAGGCAGAATTATAGATGGTTTTAAACAGTTGTGGTATTCTTACCACCCCACCCACCCTTTTTCTTACTGAACAACTTTTAAAGATGTCTTTTTTTGCCATAAACCACATTGAAAAATTTTTTTTAGCCATTTGCCTTTGTTTCAATACATTCATATGTCCGTCGTTTGGATAAACACTTATTGCATGTAGGCGGTTAGCGTGAGTGTTAATCGGAAAGCGTCTTTGATAATTCATGCCCCACAGGATTAAAAGCAGCACCATTGGCACACAGAAGTATCCACCTTCAAACAGAAGTGGCTGATTTGAAATGGTTAATTCCTTGATTTGTAATTTTTGTGGGTAAATTTTCCACTTCAAAGATTTATCGTTCTTTTTATCTTTCTTCATGTTTATCTTTAAAGTTTAGGCTACATTTTGTCCTCAATGGTCATCCTAAGGTATTGTAAACCGCATGTGCTTAACATAGGTTTTAAGACCGCATCCCGGAATCCATTTGTGACAATAACTTGGTCTTGCTAGAGTGCATTAAATTTGCAGGCTTCGTTGCGTACTGTGTTAAGTGCTTCTACAGATTCTATAGCCTCGCTTGTTAACACTTGTTTTCCATGGAACCAAAACAAAGGGCTCCTTAGGCGCTTTGATCAGAGACGTTACCGTGATCAAATTGAGGTTGAAAAGAAGAGTGGTATCCTGAGTAACACATCCTATAAGAAACATTAACTGTTTGACCAAGCTTTTTTTACATTCCTCTGAAACTCAGGGCGAGAAGGGGTGATGCTGGGTTCACATTTCTTCCAAATGTATATTTTTGAGCATATGCATAGAAATTTGTATTGAATAAAAGGACCTTTCCCTCCCGAATGGCAAAAGGAGCACCTGGGTATATAAAAACGATTTACATCATTTCATGCTTTCTTTCATTTGTCTTTTGCTGATGAGAGAAACGTTCAACCATTAGGCGTCGAAAATAACATTATCCAGTAAAGGCATTGAATCTCTAAATGTCGCTTTCAGTGGTTTTTAGTATGGAAACAATATGTTAAGCTGAATATCTCTTGGAAAGGTCAATATGTCTACAAGCACGTGAAACAAGCCACACTCAGCTAAAAAACAATATTATTAACATGGAAGAAAATACTTGTGTATACTGTAATCTTGCATTTCCCTCTCTCTCTCTCTCTCTCTCTCTCTCTCTGCCCTTCCCCCCCTCCCCTCTCTCTCTCTCTCTTGTGTATCGGACGTGCGATTGGTTTTCAGTAGCAAGGGAGTTGTAACAAACCTAATAAGTTCAGGGTACGATCCCAATTGCATTCGGTTCCAAGCGGACACGCAATTAGGACATTTACATTGGCAGTGAGGTAATGCCATCACATACAATCTCAATTGTAAATTCAGTTTAAGGCTTGAATAGTTCCTTAAAAGATTTTGAGAGCATTCACAATGAATGTCACTGAGAGACCATTAAAGGATTACGCGGTCTTCCTTTCATGTAGGTCTCGGTCTTGTTATACCTCTGCTCTTCTCAATGTGAATGCTCTCTTAGTTGCCACTAGAAAGCTTCACCTGCCATCCAATATTCCAACACGATATATATTAGACGCCCCCCTCAAAACAGTAGAATTAACAATTAACAAGACATAGATCTCTAAGCTGCATCATGTGTGTATTCGGGTTCTATAATAGGGCGAATTTGGAATGACAACAGAGTATCTCGTGCAGCAATACTTAACCGACGATAAACTGATAAATAAGCCTAGATTGATGTCAGTCAAATTTGTTTGCAATCTCTCCTTCTCCCTCCCTCTCTCCCTCTCTCTCTCTCTCTCTGCCAACACGTAGGCCTAACTATCTCAGTTTCGAGACTATACACATCCCTGTGGATGACACGACGCTTCATGATCATGTTGAATTCTAAGGCATGGCAATGCCATGGAGAATAGAAAATCTTGTTTATCAATTACCACAATTGTCAGGTGGCCATCCATTTCGTGCGTCCTGAAGCGAACGCCGCTAATACGGAAAATCAATTAGCAACAAAACAAATTGAAAGAGGATATATGCAATCTTATCTTAAAATTTGGGTCTAGACACGGCGTCTTTTAGAATTTTTTGGACTATTGCTAGGTACCCCTGCTTGTATAAAGGGGGTAAGGCGCCTTTTGCTCAGTTTATTCCTTCTGACAGCCAATCGCACGATACAATTCAATCGGATCTTTCAAAGCTTGACTAATGGTCTTCAAGGTGGAAACTGGAGTTCAAACCTGATAAGAGTTGTGAGGTCATATTCTCTACCAAGGACACAGCAAATAAATACAGAAATTTAATATTATGTGACTTAATGATACCCCGGAAACCATCCATAAACATCTCGGATTCGTACTTCGTACATCTCGGATTCGTACTACGAATCCGGATTCGGATTCGTAGACTCCAAACTGTCTAGTGCCGAACATATTAGTTATTTAGCTACTAAGGCCCAAAAGGCCCTGAACCCTCTTAAGTTCCTGTCTCATAGTCTCCGATCTAGGCACTTGAACATACTATACCCTACAACGCCTACGTTCTGTCTTGTCTTGATTACTGCGACATCCTTTATCACTCAGCAACTAAAAGGAATCTTTCTAAACTTTCTTCTATACATTAACAAGCTGGTCTGCTTGTTTTTGGGTGCTCTGCCTGGTTCGAACGCACTTAAGGTTCTTAAAGTGTTGAACTGGGCTACTCTGGAAAACCGTAGAATAATGCATGCAAAACAGATTGAGTTGATTGAGTTCTCCACTCATCACAACATGGCTCCTACATATATAATCAGAGATTTCTTGTCTTTTAAAAATCCAATGATCTCGCAAACAAGAGAGTCCTCGTACAGAGATTACATTATCCCAGCTAAGTTTACTTTCCAGGGTCCTGAATACTTACTCTTATCGTCATGGAATAGTCTCAGTCTCGAACAGAAGTACACCCTAAATGTCGCGTCACTTAAGCATTCTTTGAAATGTGAACTCTTTCCTGGTTCGTTATCAACAATCACCCTAAAGTTAGAAAGAAAGAATGAAAAATATCTAAACCGTGCACGTGTAGATCTTTTGTTCAAATCCCAACTATATAACCACAATTGGAATTCGGTGAATTCTCCAAACTGCTCGTGTGGGAAACCTGAGACTATACGCCATTTTTTCTTCCAGGGCCCACTGAGGCAGTTGAAGTATCGTGGTTTTCATTTGTCTATTGAGAGTGTCCTGGGTGCTAACAATACAAACTTTAGAACGCAACTTGATAAGATTTCTTTGTTTTTACACGGTCACAAAACTTTAACAACTGGACAGAACGACAAAGTCTTTGAAATTGTTTCGTGGTTTTTAATTGATAATGTTTAAATTCTTTGACAAGTCCACCCACCCGTCTCCCTCTCCTGATCAGCTGGTCTGTCACTTCCCGCATACATCTCCCCGTGCCTAGGCCCCCTTCCCTGTTGCTCTCACCAATATTTATATGTGTTCTAATAGTGTTATCACAATTATTATTATTACTTCTATATTATCATACTTAACTCATTTATTTACTTTCATTTAAATTAACGCATTATTTTTACCTTTATATCGTTATAATTAATCTATTTATTTACGATTTACTATAATACCGCAGGCGAGCACATAATGTAATGCTGTGGCGACGTGCCGCCTGCTCTGAATTTATTTATTTTGTATATATCATTATTGTAGAAATAAATCTGTTTAAAAAAGTGCTAGACTTTCTGTGTAAAACAGCCTTGAGTCTTCCATGCATACTGCGGCATTAATTCCCATCAAAAATACCTGAGCATAATACAAGAAGTGCAAAGTAACAATCATCAGCGACATTTGCTTTCAGGGCTCTGACCCTCTTCCATTTAATTTGTTTAGCTGCAAACATGGTTAATGAATACTATGCTTCAACTGCGATATTTTCTTTCAAATTTCCTCCATGTTCAATTAACTCTTCTACAAAAGTTGACACTAGGGAAACGTGGAACTTAGGGTGCCTTCACAATGAAGCTATCGAACTAACTACTGCGCACTACTTCACGGGGACTCTCGCTGGATGCAATCAGATTTACAGATGAACACGCCTCCTCTTGTATCCAACGTACCTGTATAATCACTATTTTTTGTATTCTACTCAACGCCAAGATCTGTTAATCTTTTTACATTCAGCGAGAGTCTCCATGGAGTTGGTGAGCAGTAACTAGTACGATAGATGCATTGTGAAGGCACCCAAAAAGAGACAGTTCAACAATAACACGGAAACCACCGTTAGATTAACTCGCATTTATAGGTAAACAGTACATTTGTCTCTGTAACTAAATTGGTCTCATATTGCGTAGGTTAACACAGCACATGATCAACTCTCATGCACTGCCTCTTTAAATCTTTTTACACATAATTGTCTACTAATGTGAACGTAATTTGATGTTAGTATGCTATTTTCATGTTTCCGCCTCCCTCTGTACATGTGTAGGATTGTTATCTGTAGGCCTATATATATATAAGAAGGGAAGACTGATCACATAAAGATAACAATAAATGCGTGTTCGTCGTCAAGAATGTTCTGAAAAGTCTCCATATCTTCATGTGAACACATGTGATATATATGTAGACTCAGATTATTAAGAATTAGGCTGAAATACGACATTGCAAAATGCCTCCCCCTTTCCCGACTTTTCTTAACATACCGAGGTTGAGGGCCTCGGAGTGTGTGACTTCGTCATTTCTTGGAAAGATGGTGGAAAATCAATTTTTGTTTGGGAAGAGGGGAAGCATGCACAGACATCCTCTAGATCCTTGTACGAAAGCTGTCTGTGCATATTCCTGTATCTCTTGTTACAAGTTCTTTTAGGTGTTTGAACATTACTACGAGTGGTAAAAATGCCACCATATATCGTATATCAAATTATAACATGTTTAGCGGAGTGGTTTGAGCGTAAATGTTCTGACTCAAATTTCAGATCAAATGCAGCTACTGTTAGGAAAATACACAGGCTCTGTGGTTGCTTTGGTGGAACCAGATATTTTCAGTGATATACATGTCCTTCAACAGGCAGCGGAATATATAAGTAACACTGCAATACCCTTTGTACAAAAACAATCGCCGCGTTATTTCCATAGTAAGTATTACAAAGAATATTCTTATACCAGGGTTATTGATCTTACTCGAGTCCAATCATTCTAAATTGCAATTTTCAAACGGAGAGTAATTTTTCTTTTACTGAGGCAAATCTAAATTAATTCCTAGCACCATTGTTTGAATAATAGATATTTATTTTAAAGATGTGCTAATAACATATAAATTCTTTATCTTTGAAAGTATTATATGACTCGAGACATCATCATCATCTATTATTTAAAAAAAACTGAATGTGAAAAAAAGGTGATGCAACAGAAATGCAATAATGTTATTTCATTGTACAAGGAATCGGGGCAAATCTCAGGAATGGTTTCTGGGGGATCGAGTCAGAAAGTAAAGACATCGATATGACCAGGGCAGTAACACCTGCAATGTCCGGAGAAGCTATGCACGAAAAAGACTCCGATGACTGCCTGACAGAGTTATTTGGTACAACAGGGTAAGTGCGTTTCATATCAAATCACCGTATATATCTTTAAAAAAGTTATCATAATGATTCATCTTTGAAGTTCTACTAAAAAGATGTAATATCCTATCAAAGCTTTTAGGGGCCGAAATGATATTGCATCTATTAGGATATTACACCTTTTAAGTAGCTCTTCATAGATGCATCATTATGATAACTTATTTATAACAGGATAAATACGACACGTGCTTAGGGCGGTTTTCCAAAACTTGTTTTAGTGCCGTCTTTCGGAACTACATGTAGACGCTACATTGCTACCCCTACTACAATGTGCCGGGTACGTATTCAATTTGTCACTGCACTTCCACTCTCATTGCGTTGACTGCTTAATCCATGGATGGCAATCAAATATCTGCTATTTTGAGTTAGAACTAAGAAAAACAAAGACATATCCTACATGGTAGTTTAACTTTCTAAAAGACATTCCCTTGTGAGGACCAGAAACTTCTCCTTTGGAGAATTGAAATATCCCACAATACAGGGCGGATTGATACCGGGTCTTATGGAAGACGGTCAGTGTTTTTTAAGTTTACATTGACGGGCATCTAAATTTTCTGTCGGAAGGCTGTCAAAAATTAAGGATGGATAAAAAAACATTTATTATAGATTCTGCTATGAACCTTAAAATTGAAATGGGGATCGGAAATTACATGTAAAACAGCGGGTTACCGCCTAAGTAATGGAATGACAAGTGATGTTTTTATTGTTCTTTCTTGGCTTTGATCTAATTATTGTACATTTGGCCGTAAGAACATGCACTAAATCATCGATATATCAGAGCCCAAACAAATTATCTGTATGAAACTTTCATATATCGAAAAACGTGATGATTACTCACTTGAATGGTTTCATAATAATAGATACACGATAGAAGTTAAGTGATTCACAATGGTATATAGAAAATATACTTGTAGGAATGTGTAACTTACTCTTAAATTCTCCCTAAAGCTTTCTTTTCAACCTTTTGGAAATCAGTCTATTCCATTTTCATTTTTTTGCAATGTAAATAAGTTAACTACATGCACATGAAATATCGATTAAGACTCTTCAAATTATTCTAGTTACAGGATTAAAAACATGCTTTCTATGGTTTGCTGAGACAATTTAAGACATAGGATCTCAATTTTTTTCTTTTTCTTTTTTTTTTTTTTTTTTTTTTGGGGGGGGGGGGTTTAAACCATAACACATAAATGTAAGTTTTACATCAATAAGGCAATTGAATACAGGCTATCTGATTTTTTTTACATATTTGTTTCTTTATATTTTACAGTTTATCTCAAAACCCCTGTGAAATTTCGGATACTTGTTGGAGACGAATGACGTCACCGGGTTACCGTGGTTACTCTCTCTCGCACCAAATTTTCTATCTGGAAATTGGAGTTCAGGTATGTGCATGATGGCTTTAATTTTGATTTACCAATGAAAATTATCACTTTCGTCGTATGACAAGAGCGTCTTCTACATTTTAAGTATGGCTACACATGCAATTGAAGGAGCATCAGGTAATAGCTAGTCATGCAACGTAGGCCTATGTAAGACTGGGCGTCTTAACGCTAGTGCTGCTAGAAAAAAAGATTATACTCTCATTTTCAAAAAATTGATAACTGGTTAACTGCAGTTTAAAGATGCGTATTAGTAAGTACCTTTGTCCAATTATTGTCGCTAAATCCTACCACATGCCGCCATACAGTTTCAAACAGAATACCTAAAAGAAATACCTAAAAGCTGTGATCTTTGCACTGGACAGATTTTCTGCTCACATTCTGTGCTTTACAGACTGGAAGGAAAATAAGTAGATCTTTACGGCAAGAAATTTGAAGAAGGTGCAGTTTTAAAGCCTTGCTTGGTGTCCGGTTGATATTTAGCATGTGAATTTTATTTGTGTGCGCCTGTGAAACTGGCAGTGGTGATTTGTATACGTTACAGGGCAATTACTCACGCTTTATATGTATCTTTTAGAAAATCCCTGGTAATTCCTTCTTCATGCTTGCAGAAATTATTCTTTGAACTGTAATACATGTTATTTTTGTACACCAGCTTTCTCATACATGTTTGTTTTAAAAATTCTTTTGAAAATTTTTCATTCGTTATATTTTTCTAGGTTTTATATGCCCAGTTTATTAGTTACGATTGGCATCTGCTACTTGCTGTACCATTGAAAGTTTTTTAATTTTTTTTTTGCTATTTGTCTGTACATTTGGTAGCTTTGTTGCCTTGTTAATATTTCAAAAATTACTGTAGGCAGGTTGCCGACCAGCGATGGACGTGAAAATAAGAAGACACTATCAACCGAGTTTAGAGACATTAGCAGAAGGTTTCTGCGCAGCCATGCTTAGAGAAGCGGAGGCCATAGCGCGAGCTGGATTCCCTTTGAGGAGACGTGATCTTTTCATGGAAGAAGGTGGTGCCATTAATCTTTTTACAGCATATTCTTTTGTGATATATATGTTACTGCCTATCTGAAGCACAACTGAACATCAAACTATTGATTAAATACATAATAGGACCTGGAACCATGGACCTACCTGATCGGGGGATTGGCTTGGTGAATTGTGTGAAATACTAATATAGGCCTACTGATGTATAATTTTGCAACAGCTGGGAATACTGGTGGTGGAGAGTAGGAATTTGGGCCATTTTTGTCTAGATTATAAGTCAGATATATATATAACATATACCTCAGCTTTTTAACTCGCACTGTATTGGTATATGCTTTATAATTCACTTTTGTGCACGTATGTCATTTCCAGCTACTCTGTGTGGAATGCTAGGTTATCGACAGTTTTTCCGGTATCATTGGCTTGAAAATATCCTGAGCTGGCAGCGACGAAGTGGTTGCTTTGGGGACGATGCCATTGACAGTAAATTCATCGCACCGAAAGGTAAAGCAAATGGAAATTGCACATTGCAGATGGAAAAAAAAAAAGAAATTGGGGAATGGCTATTTTCTATACTCAATGTGAATAAAGATAACCCAATAACGAGTGCCTCTTGCCTGTTAATTTTCTTATCGAACACAAGTATCAAACACAAAGATGGCCGGAAACAAATGGGTGCCGTGTTGCTCAATCCATAAAATATTTATATTGCGCCCCAAATTTCGTTCTATTTTAGCAACAGGAACATTTATCAAAGATAAATAAATAAATAAATAAATAAATAAATAAATAAATAATAATTCTAGAACATAGACCTACAGTCACTAGATTGACTGTGACATATATTACTTTTTGTTACTATTCTTTTATTCTTCATTGTAGGGAAATCCATGGATGAAGAGTTTAAAAGAACGGTATCCAAGAGAGAAGAGCGCGTTTTGAGTGATCGATGTCTCGCGCACAAGACCACAGTCGCACTTGGTGCGCTGACGCAGTACATGCGATACTTGCTACTAGCCATGGAAAAACAACTGCAGACTATTTAGAAAAAAAGTCCGAAGCACTTAAGAATATAACATGTATGACATGGATGGGAGTTTATTGATTAAATTGTTAAATTGAACTCTTCTGACTTCACAGAACACTTTTGCGCGTTTACAAAACAGCTCTCCATTATGAAAAGGCGTATCGACAATAACAAAAATAGAAATAGAGGTATTCTTTCTTTTTAGTTTCTTTTCTTTTATCTGTTTATTATTTTCCATTTCTTTTAATATTTTTTCACGAAATTTAGTTTTACAGGGATAATTTCCATGATGAAAACGCTGTGATGTGTCATTAAAAGTTGTTTGTTGCTGACCAAGGTCCAATAAAATAACAATATGAAAAACAGTGTTTTTTTCTCTTGCTGGTGTGTTTATCTTCTTTTCGTTTTGCTTTTTACATATGTATGACGCCACAATACGATAGCCTTACAATGAATTCAGAAAATAAATATGTATTTTGTTACACAAAAGAGCCTGTCTGTCACTNTTTCTTTTTTTTTTTTTTTTTGGGGGGGGGGGGGGGGGGGGGTTAAACCATAACACATAAATGTAAGTTTTACATCAATAAGGCAATTGAATACAGGCTATCTAATTTTTTTTACATATTTGTTTCTTTGTATTTTACAGTTTATCTCAAAACCCCTGTGAAATATCGGATACTTGTTGGAGACGAATGACGTCACCGGGTTACCGTGGTTACTCTCTCTCGCACCAAATTTTCTATCTGGAAATTGGAGTTCAGGTATGTGCATGATGGCTTTAATTTTGAAAATTATCACTTTCGTCGTATGACAAGAGCGTCTTCTACATTTTAAGTATGGCTACACATGCAATTGAAGGAGTATCAGGTAATAGCTAGTCATGCAACATATGTAAGACCGGGCGTCTTAACGTTAGTGCTGCTAAAAAAAGGATTATACTCTCATTTTCAAGGTCAAATTAAAAAATTGATAACTGGTTTATTGTAGTTTAAAGATGCGTATTAGCAAGTACCTTTGTCCAATTACTGTCGCTAAATCGTACCGCATACATAAAATTTCAAACAGAGTACCTAAAAGAAATACCAAAAAGTTGTGATATTTGCACGGACAGATTTTCTGCTCACATTCTGTGCTTTACAAACTGGAAGAAAAATAAGTAGGTCTTTACGGCAAGAAATTTGAAGAAGGTGCAGTTTTAAAGCCTTGCTTGGTGTCCGGTTGATATTTAGCATGTGAATTTTATTTGTGTGCTCCTGTGAAACTGGCAGTGATGATTTGTATACGTTACAGGGCAATTACTCACGCTTTATATGTATCTTTTAGAAAATCCCTTGTAAACATGGTAATTCCTTCTTCATGCTTGCAGAAATTATTCTTTGAACTGTAATACATGTTATTTTTGTAGACCAGCTTTCTCATACATGTTTGTTTTAAAAATTCTTTTGAAAATTTTTCATTCGTTATATTTTATCTAGGTTTTATATGCCCAGTTTACTAGTTACGATTGGTATCTGCTACATGCTTTACCATTGAAAGTTTTTTTTGTTTGCTAGGGGAGACCGGGGCTAGTTGGCCCAGTTAGACACTTTTGGCCTTGTAGAGCCAACTAGGAATGAGTTAGAGTAACAAAACCGGTTTTAAAGTAAGCCCCATGAACTAAGCTACGTATGTAACGTCATTATTTTTCAAATATAATGCCAGATGGCTCACAATTTCACAAAAAAACGCAGTTGACGTCAGGGGGGCCAACTTGCCCCGCCACGGGGCAAGTTGGCCCCAGGGTCGGGGCAAGTTGGCCCCCTATACAAAAATGAAGTAAATTTACCATGTAAACGCCTTGAATTACATTATTATATATTTTTAATTTATTAAATTGATTTTTGAGAGTCTATGATGAATAAATAGTTCAAATATTGCAGATTTATTGAGGTTTATTCCGTACGTCACGTTGTAGGAGGGGGGGGGGCTATGTGTTGCAAGAACCAAAATATCTATTAATAAAATTAGTTTTGTTTTAATAAAGAATAAATTAATAATGGTATAAAGCAGTAAAAAGTTTTTAATGAATGAAAATGAATTATATATTTTCGTTTTAAAAGAAAGTTACAAATTCAGTTTTAAACCATTGAGTTTGTTTTAACAATGGTCTCTACAGTAGCTCTGTTGCGCGCAAAGGTTTGTGGGTAATATGAGGGTCTAACTTGCCCCGAGTCAAGCGGGCCAATTAGCCCCAGGTGCACACTTTTTATTTTAAAGGGTGGCAGCCATTTATGGTGCTAGAATGAGCAACGATGATACATCTCTGTGAAACTTGAAACAATGAGCTTCAGTTTGATGCCCTATACATATAATATTCGATCAAAAGCCTATGAAAATAGATTTTTAAATCTCTTAAACAAAATTACTTTTAGGTGCAAAAATCGTTTATTTCGACTCAACGCTCAAGTAAAACTTTTTAACGTCCGACACTTCCTTAGCATTGTAGGCTACGGTAACTTTACAAGAGTATGTGGCCAATTTTTTTTAACTCGTAGTTACTTTTTCATAAATTGACGGGGGGCCAACTTACCCCAGGGTCCAACTAGCCCCGGTCTCCCCCATTTGTCTGTACATTTGGTTGCTTTGTTGCCTTGTTAATATTTCAACAATTACTGTAGGCAGGTTGCCGACCAGCGATGGACGTGAAAACAAGAAGACACTATCAACCGAGTTTAGAGACATTAGCAGAAGGTTTCTGCGCAGCCATGCTTAGAGAAGCGGAGACCATAGCGCGAGCTGGATTCCCTTTGAGGAGACGTGATCTTTTCATGGAAGAAGGTGGTGCCATTAATCTTTTTACAGCATATTCTTTTGTGATATATAAGTTACTGCCTCTCTGAAGCACAACTGAACATCAAACTATTGATTAAATACATAATAGGACCTCGAACCATGGACCTACCTGATCGGGGGATTGGCTCGGTTTTGATATAACGGAAACGTGGATTTTTAATAAAATAGGCTGGGGGTTTGGTACCTTGCACAGTTCTCTCAGAATTGTGTGAAAGACTAATATATATAATTTTGCAACAGCTGGGAATACTGGTGGTGGAGAGTAGGAGTTTGGGCCATTTTTGTCTAGATTATAGGCTAAGTCAGATATATAAATCATATACCTCAGCTTTTTAACTCGCCCTGTATTGGTATATGCTTTATAATTCACTTTTGTGCACGTATGTCATTTCCAGCTACTCTGTGTGGAATGCTAGGTTATCGACAGTTTTTCCGGTATCATTGGCTTGAAAATATCCTGAGCTGGCAGCGACGAAGTGGTTGCTTTGGGGACGATGCCATTGACAGTAAATTCATCGCACCGAAAGGTAAAGCAAATGGAAATTGCACATTGCAGATGGAAAAAAAAAAAGAAATTGGGGAATGGCTATTTTCTATACTCAATGTGAATAAAAATAACCCAATAATGAGTGCCTCTTGCCTGTTAATTTTCTTATCGAACACAAGTATCAAACACAAAGATGGCCGGAAACAAATGGGTGCCGTGTTGCTCAATCCATAAAATATTTATATTGCGCCCCAAATTTCGTTCTATTTTAGCAACAGGAACATTTATCAAAGATAAATAAATAAATAAATAAATAAATAAATAAATAAATAATAATTCTAGAACATAGACCTACAGTCACTAGATTGACTGTGACATATATTACTTTTTGTTACTATTCTTTTATTCTTCATTGTAGGGAAATCCATGGATGAAGAGTTTAAAAGAACGGTATCCAAGAGAGAAGAGCGCGTTTTGAGTGATCGATGTCTCGCGCACAAGACCACAGTCGCACTTGGTGCGCTGACGCAGTACATGCGATACTTGCTACTAGCCATGGAAAAACAACTGCAGACTATTTAGAAAAAAAGTCCGAAGCACTTAAGAATATAACATGTATGACATGGATGGGAGTTTATTGATTAAATTGTTAAATTGAACTCTTCTGACTTCACAGAACACTTTTGCGCGTTTACAAAACAGCTCTCCATTATGAAAAGGCGTATCGACAATAACAAAAATAGAAATAGAGGTATTCTTTCTTTTTAGTTTCTTTTCTTTTATCTGTTTATTATTTTCCATTTCTTTTAATATTTTTTCACGAAATTTAGTTTTACAGGGATAATTTCCATGATGAAAACGCTGTGATGTGTCATTAAAAGTTGTTTGTTGCTGACCAAGGTCCAATAAAATAACAACATGAAAAACAGTGTTTTTTTCTCTTGCTGGTGTGTTTATCTTCTTTTCGTTTTGCTTTTTACATATGTATGACGNCATGAAAAACAGTGTTTTTTTCTCTTGCTGGTGTGTTTATCTTCTTTTCGTTTTGCTTTTTACATATGTATGACGCCACAATACGATAGCCTTACAATGAATTCAGAAAATAAATATGTATTTTGTTACACAAAAGAGCCTGTCTGTCACTTGGTAGTATGGAAGCGTATAAGTGCCACAACACACAACAAAATCACTCAACACACAACACAATTTCAACACGACACATTTAACTTTTCGACACAACACCAAAGAAAATCGCAACACAACACATTAACTTCTCGACACAACGGAAATAGATGGCGCTTTCGGCGCGGACGTCTTGGAAAAGCCGCGAAAACCCACAGAACGATTATGTGATTGTTTCCTTATTTTCTCAAGGCATTTATAATAATGTGTCACTTTTGGGTCCAGGAAAAGCGCACTTTTGAAAACATTGTATTACAGAAAAGTTTTAATATCAGATAATCTGTTGTGAATGTTGCATATTCTATGCTGTGTGTGTGTGTGTGTGTGTGTATTGAGAGGGGGGGGGGGGGGTATTGATGTTGAGAGTATTGAAGCCTGGGGATATATCGTTACTTGTTCCTGTGCTCACATACATACCTAGGGATGTTATGTTACCGTGGCGATATGATGATCACTGAAGCCTGTCCATTTAGACAAGCTTCAGTGAAGATCGAGGGCAACCTCGAGCCGCTACCCAAAAATATCTCGCTTCACTCGACATTTCTGCGTAGCGTCTCTCGGAAAACTCGGATTTAACCTCGATGTAGTCTAGAATTTCACGACTACATCTTGGTTAAATCAGTCGAGGTCTCTTAAATGCTGGAAGTCAAAGACAGATTGATCATTAGACCTTCTTGGCATCAAGAGAATAGTGACGTTGCTTGCGTTATATATACCTACCAGCAGACAAATTTTTAATCTCTCACACTCTTAAAAAGCTAGCATAAACATTTCACGTTTAACAATTATTTATAATTTTATTACACTAAGTCATATCATATGGGTATGATTTGAAAACGGGAATTAGTTTACATTTAAGCCACACGTGCGTACAAATTATTTGTAAATCTATAACTTTTTAAACAAGGATTGTGTTATTTACCTTTTGTTTTTAAGCTGTTCATTCTTCCTCTTTATCAGATATATCGGTAAAAATCAAATATTTTCTCCCTTTGAACTTGTAATTACATGTAGCATGCTCCATACTCTGACACATGTATATCCCGAAACCGCCTCGTAGTAAAAATGTCACCAAAACCAGGGGGTGGAAACGCGCTACTTATATGATTATGACGAGCCTAACCGTCAGCACCGGATATTAGTTTGTGACCTTGAGGGGCTATTAGGCTTGGTCTTTGCGGCACGCACGAACAGTAGTCGATCTACCACACCTGGGTCTTTTGTTTTTGACAACTGTTCACTCGTCAAGGAGGTGCTTGTTCAAGACTACAGACTGATATCTACTAGTACTACCAGTGGCTTCATTAGTAACGTTCCCACAATACATGGTTTTCTGTCTGTGCGTACATACCCTGAATTTGGTTAGCCTCACTGACGAGAACAATGGACGTTTCTTACCCCTCTCTAGGATTACCCCTGCCAAAACGTAGAATTATTACCCCTGTGGCCTTGAAATAAACATCCGTTTGATTTTGACTATATTCCGTAACCGCCTCGTCGTCAGAAATAATGAAAACTAGAATTATTACTCCCGTGAACTTACAATAATCATCCGTTTGGTTGTGACTATATTCCGTAACCGCCTCGTCGTCAGGAATAACAATGAAAACTAGAGTTATTACTCCCGTGAACTTGTAATAAACATCCGTTTGCTTTTGACTATTCCGAAACTGCCTCGTTGTCAGAAATATCACCAAAAAGTAAATTTCTTTCTCTTTTGCATTTGTGAAAAATTAGTTTGACTATATTCCGGTCCCACGCTCCTTGTTTATCAGAAATGTCACTTAAAAGTAGAGATTTTGCCTTGGGATCTTTTTTCTGCAGCAGGTCCAGCTGGGTGTGGCTCAGCTGAGACGCGCATGGTCAGTGTCGACGATTGATTAAATACCTTT